CCAGGTGAGCTAATAAAAAGGATGAACATCGATCCAAAGACAAAAAAAACCTAAACCAATAACGACAAAAAATCTACACAATGTCTTCGACAATGGACAGAGTGATACAAAAACAGGTACATGTATACTATAGAATACAGAATGGAAGCGGGAAATGTGTCATAAGAGACCAAAGAGCAGAAAACAGCTCAATGCCACCAATGGGCCGTCAACGCACCGAGAAATTCCCGCACCCAGTGGCGGGCTTCAGTTGGCTCCTAAACAATGATGTATACTGGTTCAGTGAAATGGACACCACACTAAACTCCGAAACATACAAATTAACCATAATAAAAAAAAAACATACAGGGCTAGCAAAGGCTAGAGGTTCCTGACTTGGCATAGGCGCAAAATTGCGGCGGGGTTATACAGGTTTTTTGTTATACTAAGTATCTTAACCTATACTTCTAGCCAATGTTGAATAAACAAACAGACAGCAATACGCAGAGTAAAATTCAGTTTAAAAGAAGTCAGAGTATAATGTAAAAAGGTAACAGAAGAAACTAAGCAAAACAATAATGATAACATATGATACGGATAGAGATCGACCTTATGCAAATGAATATCAAACATTTACATCTGTTAACTTATTTCGAGTTGAAAAAATCTCTATGCAAAGTCTGTAACTGTTTGAAAATTGAGTTGATATAAGAACCCTACAAAACACCCAAAATCATCTTTTATTTCGTATTTGAATGTTCTGACATCAATCCAAGTCTTATACATATACATGTATACGTGTACTTGCATAAGGTCGATTTATATCCGACGCAGCTCATATTATTTAATAAACAAAGGACTACTACCAGTACTGCCATGCCATTTCTAGGCATTGATTAAACTGATCGAAAGATTATGTCTTCATCATATAAAAATCAACCACAATCCTTCCCGAGATACAAATAACCCTAGTCTTGAAAATATTGTCAGAATAAGTTTAACAGAGAGTATCCCTATCAAAGGTCTACAATCAACATAAAACCCCCGAAGTATCTTTTTGGTTTATAGCTCTTCAACGTTTTCGGTCCTTACACATCCTTGGCTTTCAAATATTCGGCTTTGAGCGTCCTGATGAAGGTAAATCCAGAAAAGCGCTTCTAACGTGTTGTTTTCATTTTTTAACAGCACTGAGTCGATACCTCTGCTGGTGGACTATCAGTCTCCGAGGGTATCATCAGCTCAGTAGTCAGTACTTCGGTACTGACATGATTTTTAACAGACTATCTAAAATTGCCCGTTTATAAATTTTGAAATTATACAGAAACTAAGGTTTCAACTCACTCAGGCAAAGTTTTTGGTTATTTTTTTTAGGTCCTTTTTGGTTTATAGCTCTTCAACGTTTTCGGTCCTTATACATCCTTGGCTTTCAAATATTCGGCTTTGAGCGTCCTGATGAAGGTAAATGCAGAAAAGCGCTTCGGACGCATGACATTTATAACGTGTTGTTTTCATTTTTTAAATACAACCATTGAATTTTCTGCCTTGAAACAACCACATGACAAGAACTCGTGCAGTTACTGAATTCAATAGATATAAGAAGATGTGGTATGAGTGCCAATGAGACAACTCTCCATCCAAGTCACAATTTGTAAAAGTAAACCATTATAGGTCAAAGTCATATTTGTATGGACCCGGGACGATTTAGAGCTTGACATGTTCTAAAGAAACTTGTATGTAGCCCTATAGTGGTCTTTAAATTATTTTTATCGTTTGTTTGCTGTCTCATTAACTTTCATTTTTTATCTCCTTGAAATGCTAAAATCATGTCACCCCGCACTAATAACCGCGTATCTGGCCGACTCAGAAATGTACATCCTATAAGGAGGAGCTAAAAGGGGGAAAAAAACCTCAATGAAAGTCACGTTTGTCATAATTATTTATGAAGATTATCATGAGAAATTGTAGCAGCAAGTTCTTAAAAAGTACAATGCAATTGCTGGTGAATGCCACATTTTTATTCTAAATTCACAATGAAATTTTCCTAACACTATAGTTGTGATTCCCATCTACATGCCATAAAGCGTTTGGACCAGAAACTTGGTATGATCTTCTTCGTATCGTTCGGCACCATCGTATTGCTACTCCGGCTTCGTCAACTCTGATGAGGGATTCTGCTACTCTTCGTCTTTGCAAAACGATTCCTTCTGTTTTCAAAATTCCTTGGACCATTCGTTGACCTAACGATCTGTTAAACGGGGTTATCCTCCTTACATGATTATCTAAATCGGCGTCACTATTGACTGCATAACGTCTCCTTATGAGTATTCTGTAGTCCCTGAAAATAATTATTTTCTATGTTATTTAGAGTATGTTCGGGATAGTTTACTTAGGTTTCACTGAACATATCAATTATTTTTATAAGTCTATTCAATTATCGAATATATATATCAGAGTAGTTTACATGCAATGGGTAACTCCACAGATACCACTTGCACTTAAGAGTATCAAAAACTGCTAACCCTTCTGATGCAAATGGGATAGAACCGGTTTTTTCGTTCGGTTAGTGTTGTACAATATTTAGTTTTCTTTCAAATGTTTTGTTATTGCTGTTTGCATGTTTGTCCTTATTTACTTTGGAGATGGTGTTGTCTTTTTCTTAAGATTTGTTTTATTCGCCCCCCCCCCCCCCCCCCCCCTTATTATTTAGTTATATAATCTAAGATATATAATCTTTATTGCAAAATTACACCCACAAGGGTCAAAATACAAACAATTATACATTTTAAATACAATGCAATACAATGTATTACAATCAGGCATGGGGCGAATTACATTGCAATGTAATGCATTATATTACAATTACTTTGACCAAACCATGCATTATATTACAATTACAATTACATGCATTTATCAAAGTAATGCATTATATTACAATTACTTTTGCAAAGTAATGCCTTGAATTACACATTACATTTGAAAATTTTATTAGTGAATAGAAAAATTAAACATTTTGAAAAACAACTACAAGTCACAAAAGATTCTAGCATATGCAGTAACTGTTCCATGAATTGAATATAAGTATACATGTAAAAAGTCTATTTAATTTGACTTTTACAATTTTTAATTATTTTAACTTAATGTTGACTTTACTTTTATAAATATATTTTTTGTTGTTTTTCTTTAAATTTTAAACAAAATATTTAATTACTGTGAACTACTTCCCTAATTATAAAATAAACATAGACCTTAATTAAAATTAACATATTCTTAATTAATCAAGAAATCTTAAATTTGGTTTAGTTAAAACTCCAACAATATGTTAAAGATGTAGTATGTGAAAAAAGAAATGACATGTAATGCCATGTAATGCATGAAATTACACAACTTTTTGCTAAAGTAATGCATTATATTACAATTACATGTAATGCACAAATTGCTGCATTACACATTACATGCAATTACTTGGAAAAATGTAATGCATTACCATGCATTACAATTACAAATTTGCATTACCCCATGCCTGATTACAATACAATATAATAGAACATATTTTAAAAGTTCAATTTTAAATTTATGTAAAAAACACAATCATGAGCTTGTCTGACATGGGTCTGACCCCCTCAGTTCTAAAGACTGCTTAATAAAGACTCCAATATGACAAACAAGTTCAGGGATGGGGTTTAGAATGTGTTTTAGTTTATTAAAAGCATCAAGATGTTGAAATAATGGTACATAGTCTTTTAGATAAGCAAAAAAATTGGAACGCAATGATATGTTAATGTCACAATACAAAAAGAAATGAAATTCGTCATCTAGGACTCCACATTTTTTACATAATCTTTGTGCTCTTGGAATGTTTCTGTACCTTCCCAATTCAATGCCTAGGGAATGATCATTGAGTCTAAATTTTGAGAGAAACTGCCTATGTATAAAATTATTGCAATTTAAATATTCCTCAGACTGACAATTAGTTTTTAATTTCCCATAGAGACAAAGTTTGGATGAGAAATCCAATTTTGAAAGTTTATTTCATATTCCTCTGAAACACACTTTTTAATATTACATTTTAACACGTTTTTTGATTGTTTAAAAGGTACATTAATATTAGAGTAATTTTCTGGGTTTATTTTCATATCTTTAAAATTTTTATCTGCAAATGAGTACCAAGAATAAATTCCTGCCGAATGTAAATTTATGTTTGTTTGTAGAGATTCTTTAACCAGGGGATTAATATCATTACAGTTTATTCTATAAAAATACATGAGTGTTTGAGTTTTTATATAAGAGTCCAAAGAAAATCTACCTAATTCTGATCTAGCACCTATGTTAGTGGCTGTCTTTTTCAGTCCTAATACTGCTTTACAAAATTTAGAATGAACCTTCTCAAAAGGATATTTTTCTGCTAATGCAAGAGTATCATAAAAAGTATTATTTACAGCAGCTTTATTAGATGCCCTAAAAGCTGACTGAAAATTATCCATAAACCAAATTTCAGAGTTGTATGTCAAAATAGGTCTTATAAGAGTATCAAATAATTTACATGACAAATTATTGGGAACAAAATTAAAATTGGATATATATTTTCTCAATAAAAATAAAACTTTAATACCTTTTTTAGACAGCTCTTCAGTAGTTTTTGTAAAATTTCCCCTATAGTTAATAATATTCCCTAGAAATTTAAAGTCCTTAACTTCAGTCAAAAATTTATCATTGAACAAGAGGGGTGGGGATTGTTTATAAATATTCTGAAAAACTAGAATTTTAGTCTTGTTTGTATTTACACTCAACTGCCATTTAATGCAATATTTATTTAGTGTGTCTAGCGCATTTTGAAGCCCCTGGTGTGTCTCAGACAGTAACACTAAATCATCTGCGTAACTGAGAGTTTGGATACTTGAAGTATCAAGAACTGGAGGGTTACAAGTTTCATCAAAAATTGAATGTAAATCATTAATATAATAATTAAACAAAGTAGGACTTAAACTGTCCCCTTGTCTTACACCTCTAATATTTGGAAAAACAAAGAGTGTTCATTACCAATCTTCAGTGCAGACTGGGATAAGCTATACATATTTTTCAAAGTAGTATAAAATTTCACACCAACACCATCATTTATCAATTTATACAACAGGCCATTATGCCAAACAGAGTCAAAAGCACCACGCAAATCTACAAAACAAGCAAACAGCTTTGTCTTATTTTTTTTCAAGTATTTGGTGACAAGAGTTTTTAAAATAAATATGCTATCAGACGTTTTATGGTTTGAACGGAATCCAAATTGATGACTGGAGAACTTATTTTCATAATGCTTTATTAGTCTTTTATTTAAAATAGAGCTATATAATTTTGCTAGACAGTTTAAAACCTCTATAGTTACATATGTCTTCTTTATCTCCAGACTTATGGATTAAAACAATAAAAGCTTTTCTCCAGCTGGTGGGGTAAATACCAGATGATAAAATAAGATTAAAAAGTTTAACTATGGCTGTAACTGTTACAATGCTACTACATTTTATTATTTCATTAGATATTAAGTCAGGTCCAGCGCTTTTCCCTGATTTCAATTCTTTTATACAGTTCTTTACTTCTGATATTGAAATTGGACTATCAGTACAAATATTATGTTCTAAAGTACTCTCAAGCATATTTAAATCTTTTTTTACTTTTTCTTTAAAAGAGTTATCATATGTTTCAGCTTTACCAAGATTTTGAAAATGTTCTTCATAGTTATTTAAGTTAATATTTGAACAAGCATCCTGTTTAGTGTCTTCATTTTTTAATTTTTTAAGGAGTTCCCAATATTTTTTGGGGTCCTTTTCTTACAAATTTGTTAATGTTTCAAATAAGTTCTTTTTAAATATAATTTTCTTTCTCTTTACTAATTTTTTAAGTTTTTTAGCATGTGTAAAAAAATTACATTTAAGCTCTAAATTAAATGGTTCTCGTCTGAGTTTAGCTCCTTTTGCTTTGATAGTTTTTTTAAGATCACGTACTTCATGGTCTACCCATGGTTTTCTGTTTAGTATTTTTTGTTTAAATTTTTTATATCTTATAATTTTACAGGCTTTATTTGCTAGGCTCTCAAAAATATTTTTTATATTAGCCTTGTCAATTCCTGAAAAAGTTTGTTCAAACTATGAGTCTTCAAAATCTCTAATTTGTTGTATAATAAAATTTTCCCCTAGTACTTCAATCATTTTGTCTCTTGATGTATTCTCCCATCTATATTTCACTCCTATCTGAGTAAAGTTTTTATGACTTTTACGTTCTGTATGACATATATTACATTTAAGTATTACAGATATAGTGACATGATCTGACAAATATGTTAGTTCGCCAATATAAAAATATTCGATAGAGGACATCAAATCCATGTCAGACAAGGCATAATCAACAGTGCTGGAACCATTATGCTTATAACATGTTACATTACCGAAAAGGTCACCTGCAAATCTACCATTAAGTATTCTGAGCCTGGAGGCAATACATAGATCAATTAGTTGTTTTCCATGAGAATTTAATACTTTGTCTAAAGAATTTCTATATATATGTGAATCACCCAGATAGTCATCTGGCAATAAATTTAAAAGATCATCATGAATATTATTTTCATCAGAAATAAAATCTAAATGATTACTGACTCTAGCGTTAAGATCTCCAATAATAAGAATATTACCTTTGGATGACAGCTTTGAGATTTCATTTTCAAGTAATATAAAGTCATCATTAAAGTATGTAGATGACAATGGTGGAATATAACATGCACACACATATATATCTTTTTTTAAACCAAAGAAAAATTTATCAAGCTTTAACCATAGCCTGTTGTCAGATTTTTTTACATTTAAAACTTCTGATATACCTTTATGTAAGGTAGATTTATAATATACAACGATACCTCCACTGTATCTTTTGGATCTTAATTTCTTTTTTCTAGATTTCTGAACATAATTAAAATGTATAATGTTTGTACTAGAATCAGCGCCCTTCCAAGTTTCCATTAAAATATATATGTCATATTTTAGACTAGATAAAAAATAGTCATCTTCTAATTTACCTCCCAGGCCCTGAATATTCCAACTACCAATCGACAAATTTGTTTTCATTTTGAAATCAATTTCTGGTGTAAAGCAAGATATCAATGAAATTCACTGGGCAAAGGGAAGTAACTCGAATTTTTCCCAGATGCAGAACTTTCACTTTTAATAAATATTTACTCTTTTTTTTCCTTTCCTTTTCTTTGTTTCTTTCTTTGATGCTGCATTAAGATAAATTTAAACTATGAAATGATATGTAGAACAAATAAAATTAACTAGACAAAGGGAATTTTCTCTTTAACCCCTCAATAACATTCAATGAAAATTTAAGGAAACTCATCTTTTTTCCCTTTCAGTAAATATATACCAACAAACTTGAAAAAATTGTAATACATGGTATGGTACATGAAAACTTTCATAATTTTTTGATTACGAGAACAAATTTTAAAATAAGAAACATAAAAAAAACAATTCCACAGTTCTACTCTTATCTAGAAGACTTTCATTGTAATTTTTTTTTTTTTTTTTTTTTAACCAATCATTAATACAAAATGCTATTTATAAGAATAGTAATCAAAACATTTTAATGGTAACAATTAACAGTACATTATGGTGCACATGGTCAGTAACCAAAACATTTTAATAATGCAAGACTTCAAGAGCCCAGCGTAGCAACTTGAGATTCATGTCTGAATTACGAAGACTTGTTTGGTGGTAGTCATTGAAGTTGTTGTTTCTGAATTTGTCTTGCCACTGAGAGGAATGGTCCTGATGTTTGTCCCACGGATTTCTATCAAATGTGTAATGACGCTCATGTTGCTGATTTCTCCAATTACTCTGTCTACTTTCGGTATATTGTGGATTTACGACTCCCACAAGAGGGCTTACAATGCTTTTCAAATTTCTCACATAAATTCCGATTCCTGCATATACATCTAAGTGAATGCCATCACTAAAGTGAATTTGTGTTAGGTTTCTATGACATACAAATTTCAAGTTAAATTCTGTGCATAGCTTTGCCAATAATGCATTGCAATCTAATCTTTTAACTTCATAGTCTTCAGTGTGCTTATAATTATTGTAGTATCTAGGTAAGAGTTCATTAATTATAATATTTGAGCCAGGCACCAATCTTTGTGTGGTCAATACCAATTTTTTCATATCACTTACAACTTCTTCTGCAGACTTCTCGTCTGAGTCATTTGATCCTACTTGATATGCGATATTATCAGCTTTCAATTTTCCAGTTTCAAGGAAAATATAAGATTGCTTGCTGTATCATAAATTGTTAGAATTGAATTTGATATTTACCTCAATCGACGCTTTATGCTAGATACTGATACACGTAGAAGACTTGCCATACATTTTCTAGAAAATCCAATCTCAACCAAAAATTCCAATTGTTCACGAGAGATGTGGTACCTGGGGCGTCCTATTCCGCCATATTGAGATAGCCTTAATCCAATATGTTCTGTTTCCGACCTGTAAAAGAGCGATGAATAAATCTAGTATCCAGATCCATCTCCTCGTTTTACTATTGACAGTTTTTTTTGTGAAGTAGAGTCCTGTAGAGAGTCTATAACAAAACTCTGCATTCCCCGCCTACGACAGTAGAGGGGGCACAATGTTTAGGTATGGGTGTCCGCCCGTTCGTCCTTTTGTTCGCCTCGTATCTGGTTAAAGTTTTGGTTTAAAGTTGAGTAATGTTTTGGTTTGAAGTCCTTTTGGTTATAACAACTTCACACTTAATACACAGATGAGTTAATGCCACAACCTCGTAACGGAAAATGTGTCACTTTTCAGAAAATGATATACAAAGTTTGAATGCCAATATAAATTTCATTTTACTTCAAAAATGTATCAAATTAACTTTGATTGCGCAAATACTCCTAATGGTTATAATTTTATAATTTGATGCTAATTGGATGGCAGATAACCGATACAAATGCTTTTGAAATGTTTAACGGATACTAGTATATAGGCATTCTATAATGATTAAATTTAATGCAGATGTGTTTGCCATGAGGTCATAGCTAGTGATAACATGAAAAAATGGATCAAATTTAGCAGTTAGAAAAGAATTAAGTCGCTATCCATTAGAATTAAAAATAAAGGTCCAAAGTTTACTATATTTAACAAGACTTCTAAATAATTGTATAAATCCCTTATTGTATGCGGCTTTCACTCTATCAAAGAATCTAGACTCAGCAGGATGTTACACATGGTTTACGTATATAAAAAACATTGCAAAGGAAGCAAATGTAGATTTTAAACATATTGAGGAGTGTAAGAATCTAAACCAAATAAAAACACTTAAAACTGAATTAAAAGTTAAACTACTTAATCATTATGAAAAATTATATAAACATAAATTTGAGAAAATAGATGATAGCAGTAAACTTCTATTATATAAAACATTAAAACAAAGTCATAAAATAGAAACATATCTGAATTCTAATATATTTGAAAATAGACGTAATATCACTAAATTAAGATTAAGTGATCATAAATTATTAATAGAAAAAGGGAGACACCTAACAATCCCTAGGGAAAACCAGTTGTGTCAGTCCTGCAATACAATTGAGGATGAAAAACATTTCCTTTTGTATTGCAGGAAAAACGCTTCCATTAGACCAGTTTTTATTGAAAAATTAACAAAGGCTAAAAATATAGAAAATTTTAATAGCCTCAATGAAAATGAAAAAAATGATAAATATTCTTTGCCCATCAACACAAAAACAGGTAGAAAGCGTAGGTTCTTTTATTAAAAAGTCATTGGCACTAAGGATAGGGGACTCATAATTGAATTTTGAACTATTTTCATTAGTTTGTTTAATATGATTATACATGCTTTTTTCTTGTCATTATGTTAATGTTGTTTTTTCACAAATCGTATAAGTTGGTTTATATGGCAATAAAAGTTTGATTTGATTTGATTTGATAACAGGTATCCGCTCTTAGGTATATCATATTTTAAATTTTGTTTGAAAAGCATCATTGCATTTGCAAGCAATGAGAGATTGTGGAATTTAGAATATGAATAAATATAACTGAATGAATTTTATTTACTTTAAACGTTATATAAATTTAACAATGATATACATACACACAATGTTATAAAGCATTGTTAAGGAAAAAAGATGATGTAAAGCAATACAGTAGATGAAGGAATTATGGAAAATGGATTTAAACTGAAAAATATTATTCAATTCGCAATTTCCTCAACCAATAAGAGATGGTTACAAAATTTCTGAAACATATGTCATTGTCTTCATAATACTTGTTTGACCTTTATAACACATAATACTATCTACACAAAGACCTTGGCTTGATGAATTTATTGTGTGAATTAGTATTCATTGAATCTTAGACATAGAAAAGCAATAAAATGTATCGAAATTCCAAAAGAAAATATAGTGTTATAGCTGTGTTTCACAAAAGAATATACAGTAACCCCAAATAAGATTGAAATCATAATCCAACAATGTTTGTTGGTTTTTCGAAATCGTTAATATCATTTAGCTCGTATGAAAGAAAAAAAATACTGAATTAGAATTTCCTTTCAGTATATTTCTTTTCCACCAAAGCCAAGTTATCTTGATTGTTTTCTGTTTATATTATATGATTTTCTTTTAGAATAGACTTTAAAACTTACTTACTGCACTATTTATCACACTATAATATACCATAATATACCATGACAGATTTACCAAAAAGTATGATAAAATACAAAACACAATTATGTAATACAGTTTATGTAATGCATACCGCATTCGGTATATGCTAGAAAAGGAGCAAGTCTCAATATAACTTAAGGTTTTATTATATCTGATAATCCTCATATGCATGGACATTGTAAGATGTTGTTTTCCAAAAACAGATCAGGGTGTAAGTCTGGGGTGGTGTTCTCGAAGCTATCTTAGGATTAGGACGTGACTGTCCTAAGACCATCTAATTACATGTCTTATTTTTATAATTTATTATTTTTCTTCATGAATTTACAGGTATCAACATATATTTATCTTGTGGTACAATAATCAAGCAAGTGAAATAAATAAGCATGATAAGCATTCTATGGACTAACACTATGAAATCTATGGATGAAGTATAGTAATAACATTTTCATTAATATAGTAATAATAGTAATAGTAGAGCAAGAAATATATGAGCATGCATATGGTATAACTACTAGTATACAAGTTCTTTCAAATATTCATGTATATACACATATGTATATACATTAACCTAATTTAAATTTAATTAATGATCTTAGCCCAGGGGTTCCAATACAAGTTGTGTTCTTCCATACTTAAATATTTTGAAGAAATATGTTTCTCTAAAATCAAGTTTTCTTTTATGTAATTTTGGAGACCTTTAATATGAGGTTTTATATCTTGCATCTTACATCTGTAAATGAAATACTTTGTCAGTAAGATAACTTTATTTTTAATAAAATTCAATTTATAATTTTCATAGAGGCCAAAAATGACAATTTTCAAATTTAGTGGAATTTCTATATGAACTATATCGAAAATCCAAGAATTTAGATTGTGCCAAATGTTACAATATGACAACCCCAAAGTAAATGTTCTATAGTTTCAGGCTCTTCCTAGCAAAATGTACACAAATTACAGTTAACAAGTTTCATTTTAAAGAGTAGAGCATTAGTCCCTAAGATATAATGAATAATTCTATATTGAAACCAACATAATTACACGTCTTTGTCTTAAGTCGTGATCTCGAAGCTCTCTTAACTTAGGATACATTGCATTTTTCGTCCTGGTGTTTTTTTGTGTCAGATAGTAATCCTATGTAGAAGCTAAGTTATTGTCTTGGAATAACACCTGACCTCGAGTTAACAGTAAATGCTTAAGCTGGTACAGTCTGTTTAACTTTGCATTATCTTGGACTGTCCCTCCATCAAATTGTTGGACGACCATATCTGGGGTGGTGTTCTCGAAAGTATCATAAGATTCAAATTTAGGATGGATCATCTTTGGACACTCTTATGGTAATGATATACGGTTAAAAAATGCACTAAAGTTGCGATTACAAGACCAATACAAACAGTTGTGGAATACTCAATAACAAGAGTCTACAAAAGCAGTAAATAATATAATTTTTAAGTTAGAATTGAATTTTGAAAAATATTTCGATATCTTGGATTTGCACGAAAGTATTATTTTATGTAGATATAGAACCACAAACCACAGACTCCCAATAGAAACAGGGAGATGGAATAATATTAATAGAGATGAAAGAAAATATAATTTTTGTAATATTGGTAGTATTTGGAGACGAATTTCATTATCTGCTAGAATGTCCATTTTTTTTATCGACAGTAGAAAATTATACCTTGATAAGTACTATATATTTTGCTCTTGTTAATACACTAAAGTTTAGAAAATTGATGAGCAAATTAAACAAAAAGTCAGATCTAAAAAGATTATGTAAGTTTATAAAGTGTATAAATAAATATGTGGGTCCTCCTGGCTAAAATGTATATTATTTTGAAAACCACTGTATTGTATATATGTTTTGTAAATAGATGCATATTCATGTACATATTTTGCACCCTCTCTGTACCTATGTATCTGCAATGGTTATGAGAATAAAAATATTGCTTAAGTTGTGTCTTGAAGCTATCTCAGACGCATCTTATTTAAGGACGGCCTAAACATATCCTAACTTTAAAGTGCGAAATTTCAATTTGTTTAAGTATTTTTTTTTATAAAACATTTATTAATGACGAAACCAATTAATAAAATTGTTTACAAATTTTATAATGACATGTACATGTATACTATTAAATATAAAAAAGAAGATGTGGTATGATTGCCAATGAGACAACTCTCCACAAGAGACCAAATGACTCAGAAATTAACAACTATAGGTCAATGTACGGCCTTCAACAATGAGCAAAGCCTATACCGCATAGTCAGCTATATAAGGCCCCGAAATGACAAATGTAAAACAATTCAAACGAGAAAACTAAAATTGGATGATCTTAAGTCACTAAATTATGTGTTCTAAAATGTGATAAATCCTAAGTTAAGGGAGCTTCCAGAACATGACTTAGGACTTACATATCATAAGATGGTCTTAATTATGTAAAAAAGGATTGTAAACTGGAAAACAATTTGTTTTGAAATGAGAATTAAATTTTTAGTATCATCGTATCGTGAAACACGAAGTTCAAAGTTTAAAAGCCAGCACAATCTCTTTATATACAAGTTAATAACCGATGGTGCGTTTTATTTCATGTTTATCTACACGTAAAAATTGAGCAAAAAGTGAAATTCAAACTTTATTAAGTTAGAATGAAGAAAGGATGATCTTAAGACACCTAATTAGGTGTTCGAAAGTTAAGACGAAAAATGCAATATATCTTAAGTTAAGAGAGCTTCGAGAACACGACTTAGGACAAAGAGTTGTCATAAGTTGGTCTTAGGACACGTCCTAATCATAAGATAGCTTCGAGAACACCACTTCTTTGGTGTTTTCTGTAACGGTCATCTTTACGAATCGGGTCATTAAATTTATAGTTAAAGGATATGTGATTCAGGTCTTTTCAAATCTCCACTATTTCAGCAATGTTATTGTCCTCTTTTAATGTTTCGCACGAATATTTTCAAAATTGTATGTCGAAATAAATGAATGTTCTCGTCTTAAGATTTCCCTTATGTGAATGAAATACACAATAAAGATATTTTGTGTATTCGAAGCGCTTAACTTTCGAAATCCGTGAGTATTTAAATAAATATAATGTTATGATTATGACCAAAAAGGACCGTTAAACCGAAAGGACCAAATATTTCTAAATCGTGCATATATTTAAAGTGCTGTTTTTGTATAAGTAATACATTTCATAGAAATGTCTTTAAGTTTTCGTTTGCTGTTAGTCTATTATGAGGTGATATTTTGTTTTTTTTCCCTAAGTTTTGAAATATTTTAATATATTTATATTATCTTTTATACAATAGAAACTACAGAAGCCGATAAGGGTCATTCGAAAAAAATAATTTATGTCGTAATTACGACATAGCATGTCGTAATAACGACATCCTTATGTCGTTATAATTACATCGCTATATATATAAACAAAGAGTATGTATTATGATTGCCAAGAGACTAAATGACACAGAAATTAACAACTATAGGTCATCATAATGCCTTCAATTATGAGCAAAGCCACTGCATAGTTAGCTTTAAAAGGCCCCGAAATGACAAATGTTAAACAATTTAATTCAAACGAGAAAACTAACGGGCTTTATTAATGTACAAAAAATGAACAAAAAACAAATATGTAACACAGCAACAAACGACAACCACTGAATTACAGGCTCCTGATCGCTATGTCATAATTACGACAACCTTAGCGTTGTCACTTTTTGAGGCGATAGAAAATTCAAAATGGTCGTCAGTGAGGGCAAAGTTTGTAGCGTAAACAAATTCATCTTTTTTTGGAGAATAATGAACACTAAATGCAATCAAGCTTAATTAAAGTTATTTACTTGCACATACTAGAACTTTATTTTATAATCAAGTCAAATGAGACCCAGTTGAACAGGGGAGCGATTCAGGCTCCTTGGAGCCTCTAGTTATATTTGGCATGTACAGATTCGTGTAAAATATGACTGCATTTCCATTGCAGATTCTGAAGAAGATGAATTTTAAGCTTTTCCAAATAAAGACTATGTTAAACTTTGGACTCCCAGTGCTCAGACCTATGGACCTATGTACCTTCATTTGTACACAATTGCATCTTAATGGCCTACTGATGCTTGATGCAAATTATAACTGCATTGCTACTGTTAGTTCTTAATGAGATTCTTACAGCGTCCTCCCCATTGAAGCCTGTATTAAACTTTGGACCCAAAGTTCTTTAAACCAATGTTCCCCAGGACAACTATTCCTACAAACTTAGGGGGAGGGTTAGGATCCCGGTAACATGTTTAACCCCGCCACGTTCTGTATGTATGTGCCTGTCCCAAGTCAGGAGCCTGTAATTCAGTGGTTGTTGCTTGTTGATGTGTTACATATTTGTTTTTCGTTTATTTTTTGTACATAAATTAGGCCGTTAGTTTTCTTGTTTGAACTGTTTAACATTTGTTATTTCGGAGCCTTTTATAGCTGACTATGTGGTATGGGCTTTGCTCATTGTTGAAGGCAGTTGGTGACCTATAGTTGTTAATTTCTGTGTCATTTGGTTTCTTGTGGCAATCATACCACATCTTCTTTTTTTATATTTAATCCTCATCATATAAGGATCATCCATTCTCTAAGATTGATCCAATATGGCCTGGTAGTTCTTAAGGAGAAGATTTTCAAAGCTTTTTCCATTGGGCCCTATATTAAACTTTGGTCCCCTAATAATCGACCCTAATGGATCCTCTGACCTTCACCTATCACCTAAGGAAGTTGTGTCTCGTACTCGAAGTGGTATGAGAGCGATTGCCATCGTTTGTTGTCCGTCGTCATCTGTCTTAAGCGTGTTTTAAAAATCTCCTTTGAAACTAATGTGCAAAATTCTTTAAAAGTTAGTTTGATTTTTCCTTGTTTAATGTTTCCTTCACAATGGTCACACATTAGTTTTTTTGATAATGTCTCGAATATCGTTACATTTATCTCAAATCTGTTGAGGGTTCATGATGACAAAATGGACCTATGCCGAAAATTTCAGAAAGATCAGTTTGACCAATACCTGAGTTGTGTCCTCTAAAACATTTTTTGGGATAGCTACATTTACTGTCATCACTTGAAGTCCGTCGATTTTGACCAGCAACCAACTGCATGGACACTTTTACTAAATAAAGGCAACAGTAGTATACCGGTGTTCAAAGGTCATAAATCGACTGAGAGAAAACAAATCTGGGTTACAAACTAAAACCGAGGGAAACATATCAACTGTAAGAGGAAAATAAACGAACAGCAGGAACACTAAAGTGAACAAAAATAAACCCTTAACATACATAGAACGAACTATTTGATAACAACTGTCATATTCCTGAATTGGTACAGGACATTTTAAGAACAAATGGTGGGTTGAACTTGGTTTAATGGCTAGCCAAACCTCCCGCTTTATGACAATGATAAAAATGTCGCTGAAATGATAACACTACATGACAGAAATACAGATCAAACACACGCAAGAACATTCATCCCAGAGAAACGCACAAACAAATAATATACTACAGTGTAGTAATAGTCGCAAAACATGTAAACTGCAGAACAACAACGAACATATTTCATCAACGACAAACACCACAGGATATAAAAAACAGTTACGCGCTTTCCACAATACTATACAAATAGACCACATAGCGAAATAACAGATTTTTGCCTCGCCTGCGATGAACGTCAAAAATAACTAAACAAAGGAATTGATTTTTCGGCGACGGTGGCTAAACTTTTATCAACATTTTGTGATTTTTGTAATCTTTAATAAAAGTTTAACGGTAACTACAGACGACGACGGACGACACGCGATTGCAATAGCACACATAGTCCTTCGGGTACTAAACACATCTTCTTGATGTGATCTACATACATGCCAAATATAAATAGAGGCTCCAAGGAGCCTGAATCGTTCACCATTTCAATGGGTCCCATTAGACTTGATCATGAAATAAAGTTCTATTATGTGCAGACATATATGGAGTAACTCACTTTAATATTAATTAACTTTGCCCTCACTGGTGGCCATTTTTAACTTCGGATCAGCTCAAAACGTAAAAACTCTTTTTAAGGACCTGGATACTAGGTACACATTGTATATTTATACTAAATTTAAACTCAGTCATTTCAGCAATCTTGAGAAGAAGATATGACATAAGGATGTCATTATTTCCGCATAATATGTCGATATTACGACATAGCGATGTCGTTATTTCCACATAATATGTCGTTATTTCCACATAATATGTCGTTATTACGACATAGCGATGTCGTTATTACAACATACTATGTCGTAATTATGACATACTATGTCGTAATTACGACATACTATGTCGTAATTACGACATAAATTAATTTTTTTGAATGACCCTTATCGGCTTCCGTAAGAAACACATTTTGTTTTGAAAAAAACCCAATTATTTGTTTGAAGTTTTGTATGTTTGAAATCTTACTGAATACTTCATTTGTAAATTTTAGAAATCATAATTACATTTAAAAAAACACATCTATATAACAGCAAGAAACAAAAACAACGAAATCATGATATTAATGCAAATTAGTTGATTGAAATTATACAAAATATGTAATTTTCCTAAAAAGATTTTTTTTTTATATAAATATTATGTTTCTTGAATGTTTTGTAACATTGCAAACTCATATTACAGGCATGTATAACAATAACATTGTTATTATATCATGTATATAATTCAAAATAAATTCTTTTAATTATAATATTCAAAATATAAACCAATTTATACATACACCTTTCTAAATTATCTGAATATGAAAAATTCTATATCAAGAACCCATTTAAATCATAACAATTTAATTTACACTATATATACTATGAGGTCATGTCAGATACACTTAATTGATGACCTGCTGATATTCACTTCATCTTTGCAGCTGTAACCCATTATCTGATGTTGATGGGGATGTGGTTTAAGGTGTCAAGATAAATCAATTAAAATGTCAAATGCAATAACCAAGGAATTCGAACTTCTGTGTTATTGCATTCGATTTTGCAAACGATATCAGTGGCAGGTATAGAACTTTTTGTAAGAGGGGGGAGACACTGACTGACCTAAAAGGGGCGCTCCAGTCATGCTTCAGTGATTCCCTATATAATCAACCAAATTTTTTCCACAAAAGGGAGGGCTTGGGCCACACAGGGCCACCACCCCCCCCCCGGATCCACCTATGGATATTTGTTATTAGGAATGCAACAAAACTTATCTATCGTAACCGTGTTGTGGTTTTGGGGCAAGCTATTTAATAAAAAGTATATTACCTGCATTAATTTTATAAAGTAATAAGAGATAAGTCTTTCCTGCTGCCAGACTTTCTATATCAAACTGATAATACATTTGTCGTACTGACTTTTCTGCTGCGTCTGATGACTTTTAGCGCCTGGTGTAAAACAAGAGAAAGTTCTAGTAAATATAGATGTTTATTTCTTGAAATCAGTAATCAAAGTGCTACAGATTTTACACAATAAAATAGCAAGTCTCACTTGATAATAAATTTAGAATTTCACAACTGAACTAAATTAAGGGACATAACTCTATGCAAATTTTAATCAATTAAATAAAAACTTGCCCAAACTCTATTTTATCAAGTGAAACAGCTTTACAAAACTTTACGTACAGGTTAATGCATAATACAATATGTTAAATAAACCGAATCGTTTCTACTTAAATGGATACTTAATTTCAAATGTTTTGCATAATTATTTGTTGCTATGGAAACAATAAACTTTTAAAATTAATAAAATCTTTGTCATACTATCTTAATATTTAATCGCATAAAATCTAATACCAAATACAACTTATTTATGAATAAATTGGTATGTAAAATAACCTTGCATAATGCTTAAACAGCATTTACTCCTTTTGCAAAATATTAAAATAAGGAATATACCCATGTTGCTAAGCAACAAACATGTACTTCTGTCACGAGTTCCGTGTATGTGTGTAATACAATAAATTAACTAAATTCAACTTAGATATAAGTTCTAAAGTCAATTCAAATGTTCAAACAATTTTGTTAACAAACTGAAAATGTGAAATCCTGCGGACAAGTGTCGCTTTCCAAAACCTAATTTATGAATCTATATACAAAATATAAAAACACAACTTACAGAATAATGAAGTAGAAAATAAGGTTTCATGTCTTTGTTATTTAGCTTTCGATAAAACTCTATAATCATTGCTTTATCAACAAAAGACATTTCTCCCGGCAAATAAAAATTACAAACTATCTCCCCTGGACATTATAACACTTAAAAGTTACTACGGATACAATGTGAAATATTTCCGGACTTTCAATAAACTTTTGAAAATAACTATTATAAAATTAACTAAATATTTCTAAACATAGAATAGATATATATTAAATAAATTCTCGAAACGTTTATCAATTGTTTACATAAACTAAAAGTGACTCGTCCTAAGCGTAACCAACACAAAAATAATATTAATCACAATGGAAACGAAATACAATCTATACAAAACTATATACAATTAGTTTAAGTGAATTTCTTAAATGAATTTTAACTTTCGTTAGCTTTTCCCAAAAATTTAAAGTAATTTAAACTCTTTAATTTAAATAAAACAAAAATACAAAAAATAAAATTCAACTTACCTGGTGTAAAACAAGAGAAAGTTCTAGTAAATTTAGATGTTTATTTCTTGAAATCAGTAATCAAAGTGACCGTTGAAAACATAAATTGTTTCCATGCGGGCGTGGTCACATGATCACTGATTTCTTAACTTTCTCCTGTTTTCACCAATCAAAAAGTACCTTGTGAAGCTCCCTTGACCACAACCTATTTTCACTGGTTGGCCAATAATCAAGTCATGGGTGACAGGTGTTATTAACAATTTCACACATGAGTAATAGGAAAAGGTTGTTTAACAAAAGCCTTAATTTACATGTAAGGTACATAATCCAAGTAAATAATTTAGCGCTTACATGTCTCTTTGTTATCCGTCTTAATTACGTAATCTAAATATTCAAGTTGTATGTCATTCTTCTTTATCAAAATTTAACATTCCAAAAATAATGTAACTTACATAAGGAGAAATTTTAGAAATAAAATAAAAAATTTAAACTTCAAAATACTTTAACTTAAATTGTAAAAATTGAATAATTTTCACTTTAGTTTGGTCAGTAAAATTATGAATTGCCAAAGACAAAATTTTAATATAACACATTGATGAACATGTCAATTAAAATTTTACTGTATATCCAATTGCTCTAAAAAAAAATGTGAAAATATTCTTTAATACCATTACGTTATTTAAAAAATAAAAAAATCTCAAAACTGCAAAATTTTCAGTTAAGTGGTTGTTGCATTAAACCCTCGATATGACCGATATTTCAAGGTTCACTTATATGGACTCACAAACTTATTTAACAAAGTTTCAGATAAAAAAATCATATCATATCTTATTTTCATCAACAAGTTCTATACTTTTTGTCGTAATATATTTTATTGCATATAAAGGGAATATTGTATGGTAAGGCTTTTTAAATATCGCACCCGTATAAACCCGAAACGCCAATATAATCCCGAAAGGTGAGCGTTAATATAGAGTGCATTTCTTTCGCACACGTTTAGATCATTTGTTTCTAACATACGTTTGCAAAGACTGCATAAACTTTGACAAACTATACACTCGCTGATAATGCGTCTACTGTTTGTAGTTCGTCTTTTGTTAGTGCAAACGCTGCATTTTTTTTCTAACTTTACATTTAATGAATTATCTAAACATATTTTTCCAACTAAAAAAGAGGTTTTATAACTCAAAGCAATGTCTAAAATTATTCAAATTTAGGTATTGCCGTCCTTTCTTTCATTGCTGATATTTTCAATAAAAAGGCTTAATCATCACTATCTTCATACATTCATCTGATGAAGACAATGAACTGACAATAAAATTAAATATGCATAGAGGATCGATGTCCTCTGTGTCTATAACATCTTATACAGAAGCTATTTTCCCGCGTAATAAGTTTAAATACCAACAACATGTGCATTTTTGACAGTTCAAACAGGTTTAGTAATCAATGATTAAACGATGCATTTCTTTCTACATTTGTAACGTTTAACAAACTATAACAAACGACACACAAAAAGACAGCTTCCCAAATCACTTTATAACGCCGTATTTGCGTGAAAACAATCGCATTACATAGTCGTAAACTTTTCCTCCAAAACTACTGAACCAAATGTTTCCAAACATATCATATTTGTTTTTCGTTTATTGTTTTGGACATAAATCAGGTCGTTAGTTTTTCGTTTGAATTTGTTTACGTTTTGTCATTTCAGGGCCTTTCGTGGCTTACTATGCGTGTATGTGTTTTGCTCATTATTTCCGTATGGTAATTATTCATGGTTTTTAACTTCTATGTTATTTGTTCTTTGGTGGGGAGTTGTCTCATTTTGGTTATCATACCACATCTTCTTATTTTTACATGTTCAGGTATATTTATAAATCTCCTGAAACAAGATTATCTACGTTTCTCATGCAGAACATGTGGACTGATTTAAGGTGTGGATCCTCAAACAGAATTGTCTTATACTTTTCCTAAATGTAGATTTGATCATGCTTTGTTCAAGCTACAAGTCATGCAAAATTGGGAAAGGAGTATAGGTCCGGTAAGTGCCGATTTTGGCCTCAAATTTCAGGTTCATTGCTCTTCTCTGTATATTTTTGTGTAAAGATTAAGCTAATGCGGCAACAAATACCGCAAATGCTACATTAATTACCGCAAATGCACCAGATGAATATATGAGGTCCGAGTACACAGTTATTTCGTAGTGCATTTCTTTTAGACAATAAATGAAAATTAAAAAAATCACATCTGCGCTTTCTCAATAATATTTTTACAGTGTGTTGTACTACTTTTGGGACAAATTATATCAAAATTATAGAAAACTTCATCAGCTCTAACTCAAAATATGGACAATTTCATGTTAAGGGGGTCTTCAAATCTTTTGACAGCTTCAGAAGTGCTAATTTCTAACATTTTTCAGCTGGACCAAATCACTACTTTACTTTAAAATTCATGACCCAAATTGTTTTACAGTGTCATTTCACCCCCTACTTACTATTTGAGTCATAAAACATGGAGAAATAAATTTGGAAGGGGTATAAAAAAAATCGACAAGTAACACACTGTCCACACTAGGGACTATATTCGTAATCAAAGGACGATAACTGTGTACCCGGACCTAATAGGGTAGAAAAAGTTGACCAATCTTAATGAAACTTGGTATGACCAAAGCTTATTAAATTATAAGACTGCTTACAAAGTTTCATGGCAATAGGATTTACATTATAGACAATATGACTAATTCTATATTCAACTTTGCATGTTAAATTTAGACGTTAAAATTGAAAATTTTCAACTATCAACATTTGGGGCTTAAAAAATTAAAATATTGCAAAAAAATACTTTTGAAATGCCTTAATATATAATATATTATGTATTAAAAGCAATAGAGTACTCATTTGATTTATCAGACTTATCATAATTATTAAAAAGTCAAATTTATATGAGCCTGTGGCTAAAAATGGAGGTTTTCCAATGAAGGGGGCCTTACATGAAGATGTAATATTTTCCAGCAATTTTAAATTTGTAAAGCTTTTTGGTTATAAATAATCCTTACATATGTATTTAATGTACTTTAAATGGAAAGAAAACTTACAAATAACATATCACATTAGTTTAAAAGGGTCTTAGGCCAAGTAAGACTGAAAATAATTTAGGGTCAATTTAGGCCGTATCACATATTTACATTTAAAAATGCATATTGAATCTATAGGAAATAAAATTTTGTGTCTTTTCTATCATTTCTATACTCAGGTGACATGATACAATAAATCTGAGCACAAAAAGACTCTTGCATTCAACTTTTTTTGCAGACAGTATGGTCTGATACAAAGATTTTTCACTTTTTAGTGAAAAACATGCATGCAATTTTAGTCTCAACAGGCTTATATTTGAACCACTTGCTATCCTACAGAAGAAAAGAAAGATATTATGTGACATAAAACAGGTACAAAAGACATTGTTAAGTGCTTTTTATACAAATTTAGTGAGGTCTTTATAATGGACTTCAACTTTTATGTTCCAAGCTCCTCACATTTAACTTGATCCAAACAGGGCGTTAGACAAGGATCATATATACAACACATTTTGCACATATTGTCTGAGATAATCTTCTTTTCTGTAGATTCAGAGTTCACAAATGAGTAATACAACTGGATTGAAGCATAGAAACACAAATATTGACACATAAAAACCTGTCAGATAGAAAGTCAGAATGCCACTTATGCATCAAAATTGAAAAAGCTATGAAATGCTTATTTTGACCATAAAATGCCAAAATTGGTCATTTTTGCAGAAATTCTATCATAAAAAAGTTTAAATCCTTTAGTTTTATGCTATTTGATAAATTGACACCATCAAATCATTCAGGGAAGTTGCCAAAGTACAGATTCTATATTTCCTGATTTCACCTCTTAGGTCCGAGTACACAGTTATTTCGTAGTGCATTTCTTTTAGACAATAAATGAAAATTAAAAAAATCCCACCTGCGCTTTCTCAATAATATTTTTACAGTGTGTTGTACTACTTTTGGGACAAATTATATCAAAATTATAGAAAACTTCATCGGCTCTAACTCAAAATATGGACAATTTCATGTTAAGGGGGTCTTCAAATCTTTTGACAGCTTCCGAAGTGCTAATTTCTAACATTTTTCAGCTGGACCAAATCACTACTTTACTTTAAAATTCATGACCCAAATTGTTTTACAGTGTCATTTCACCCCCCTACTTACTATTTGAGTCATAAAACATGGAGAAGTAAATTTGGAAGGGGTATAAAAAAAATCGACAAGTAACACACTGTCCACACTAGGGACTATATACGTGGACAACGAAAATCAAAGGACGATAACTGTGTACCCGGACCATGAGCCTAATGGTATGTTAGCCGATAGGATTTGCTACGAAATATTACAAGAAGCGCAAAAGCTACAATTATATAGCATTTGCAACATTAAATATAGCATTTGCAATAAATTAGTGCTTTTGCATGAAAAAATTACTTTTGACCCTTTTGATAATTTGGTTGATTATGTAGGGAATCACTGATGCATGAATGGAGCGGGCCCCCTCTTTAGCAGTCAGTGGGCCCCCCTTTTGAATTTTTTTCTGGATCCGCCACTGGTTGAGACATCCCTGTGCTGTATGATTATTCTATATTTGTATGCATCCTTTTAACATTGTCCTTTGTTGGATAGTGGTCTCATTGGCTTTCATACCAAAGGTCATTATTTTATATTTAAAAGAAAAAAAATTGCAAAAACAGGTCATATAATTAAGTTATGGCAAAACACTCTTAAACATTTATTTTTAGCCCTCATGTTGGCTTACATACATAGTTGACCTATTATTCATTACAAATGAGATACTGACCTATTTGTGTCTTAAAAGGGTTTTGTATCGCTCCCATAGAATTTTTGCATAAAATTGATATTTTGCAATAAGAATAATTATGATTGTTTCTGGGCAATTAAGTCCTTAATAAAGTTGAATGCTAATTTTGGCCATGTCAATTGATTGGAAAAAATAATCCTGATTGTATTTTTTGCTGTTTCAATCTACTGTAGTTTCACTGACAAATAAACTGTTAACACAGAGATATGTCTCGCCTATCTGTTATTTTGATAATGCTAATATTTGTTGAAATTAAAATAGCAATACTTTAACATGTAAGTTATGCAAATATTCAGTCAATGAACCATGACTGAAGGTACAGGGCTAAACAATCTCCATGGAAATGAGATGTGTCAATGCTTATACAACTGCAAACCAAATACCATTGACTTAAACAAACCTAGTAAACACAAACAGTAACTTGTAAACTAAGCAAAAGTTTCAAAGTCAATAAACCAAGACTGAGGGGTAAAGACCAAATATTCTCCATGGAAATGAGATGTACTAATGCTTATACAACTGCATACCAATTATCACTGACCTACCACTAACAGTTCCCCTTAAACTGACCTAATCACAAACTAATACATGAAAACTAAGCAAAAGTTTCAAAGTCAATAAACCATGAATGAGGGGGCGGGGCCAAATAATCTCTATAGAAATGGGATATGCCAATGCTTATACAACTGCATACCAAATATCATTGACCTACCACTAGTGGTTCCCCATAAACTGACCTAATCACTAACTAATACATGTAAACTGCGAGTACTTTCAGATCTGTACTTAGTGTCTTTTTGTTGTTTGGATGTACAACTACCCGGCAACGTCCATTGTATTTGTATTTTATCCATCTGATGAGTCAAGCCTCTTTCAACTGAATTTTATAGTTCGTTCTTATATTTTACCGTTACACCACTGTCCCAGGTTAGGGGGAGGGCTGGGATCCTGCTAACATGTTTAACCCCGCCACATTCTGTATGTATGTGCCTGTCCCAAATCAGGAGCCTGTAATTCAGTGGTTGTCGTTTGTCTATGTGTTACATATTTGTTATTCGTTAATTTTTTGTACATAAATTAGGCCGTTACACCACTGTCCCAGGTTAGGGGGAGGGCTGGGATCCTGCTAACATGTTTAACCCCGCCACATTCTGTATGTATGTGCCTGTCCCAAATCAGGAGCCTGTAATTCAGTGGTTGTCGTTTGTTTATGTGTTACATATTTGTTATTCGTTAATTTTTTGTACATAAATTAGGCCGTTACACCACTGTCCCAGGTTAGGGGGAGGGCTGGGATCCTGCTAACATGTTTAACCCCGCCACATTCTGTATGTGTGTGCCTGTCCCAAATCAGGAGCCTGTAATTCAGTGGTTGTCGTTTGTTTATGTGTTACATATTTGTTATTCGTTAATTTTTTGTACATAAATTAGGCTGTTAGTTTTCTCGTTTTAATTGTTTTACATAAAAACTTTGAGAAAATAAGGATTTTACAAGATTTTCAAATATGGCTTTTGAAACTAAATGTTATAAAATTATGAAAAGAAAAGTAGGGCTTAGTGGGCAAAATGTTTTAATGGCACTATACATGGATAAAACCAGAGGATTACGAATATCTGACAAAAATTCAAAAACAAGAGCGAACATCTGAAATGTCTGGCCTGCTTTAAAAATACTATTTATAATTTATTTTATGCTGATAGTTTTGGGTCATGTTCAGATAAACCAAGCCAGAAAGACACCTTACAATCATTACAAACACCCGGGGTGGGGGGAGTGTTACTTCCTATATTTTTAGTGGTACGAGTGTGGATCGAGCAAAACAGGGTCGCTTTTTCATGCCCTGTTGGTTAGAACAGGGTCCCTTTTCATGTCCTGCTGGTTAGAACAGGGTCGCTTTTTCATATGCCTTTCTGGTGAGAACAGGGTCTTACAGGGCCTTTTTTTTAAACAAAGTATTCGTCTAGACCAGGATCGCTTATTTAACTGCTTAAGATACAGTCTAGAACCCGGGTCTAGAACAGCATCTATTCTACATTTTCTTGAACATGTCTAGAACAGGGTATGTTTTTAAATATTTCTGTTTAGAACAGGGTATATTTTTCAATGTTTTCTGGTTAGAACAGGGTATGCTGTTTAGAACAGGGTATATTTTTCAATGTTTTCTGGTTAGAACAGGGTATGATTTGGCAAGTGCTGTCGGTACAGTTAAACCAGAAAGGATAGTCAGTAACCCCACCCGGGCAAACACCAAATATAGTTGACCTATTGCTTATATAGTATACAAGAAACAGACCAATTAATATATATAATTAAATCATGAATACTAGACATCGATATTTGTAATAATGATAATAATAATAATTTATTTATATTCAACAAAATGTGTTTAAATAGTTTTAAGTATTAATTGTTTTGATGTTCTTAAAGAAACTGATCCAGTTAAGTAGTGCCAGTGTCAAAGGCGAAAAATATAGTTCAATGGTTCGTTGTTAAAAACTTGGACTAAGAAAAATGTCCACTTCTATGTATTTAACTGCACACCTCAGTACCCTTATTACTGTCATTATACTTTGAACAATGAATGAAGTGATTCCTATTACCAAATTTGTTTTGGGTGAAAAATTTAAAACTTCGGATGTGTTTAAATCGAAACTAAAACAAAAATCTAGACTCAAATTTTTATCTTCAAAAAAGTGCAGAATGGAATTGAACTATATGCAATACAAACGTGTGAAATGACGCATCACTGGTTTGTAATGGCTGCTTGGATCGAGTGGTTTCACCAACAATGCGTCGGACTAAAACTGTGACTGAGATGACGAAAAACAATTAAAGCTCTCTTCCTTAGACTTTCCCAGGTTAGGGGAGGGTTGAGCCCTTGTTAAACCCTGCCACATTCTTTAAGTGCCAGGTGTGAGGAAGTCAGGAACCTGTAGTTCTATGGCTGTTGTTGGTTCATGTCTCATATTTGTTTTTCATAAATAGTTTTGTTATAAATTAGGTCGTTTGAATTGTTTCATATTTTTCATGTCAGGGCCTTTTAAAGCAGACTACACGGTATGGGTTTTTCTCACTGCTGAAGGCTGTACTATTGCCTATAATGCTTACACCCACTTCATTTGAACTTTTGTTAGTTGTCTCATTGACAATCATACCATATCTCCTTATTTTCATATTAACCAGGAAAACTTAACATTCAGACAAAGAAAATGAGGTCAAGGTCAGATAAAACCTGCCAGACTGACATGTACACCTTACAATCATTCCATACACCAAATAAAGTTGAAATTCTGCTTACAGTATCTGGGAAGCAGATCAAAACATGTGACTTTCACCTTGATCAATGAGGTTGAGGTCAGGTGAACCCTGTCTGAAGAACATATAGACATTGCAATGACCCATATCAAATCCTATTTCTCATCATTGAGAAATTCAAATAAAAACAAATCTTTTTTTAAGCAGTTGCTGAACCATGAAAATAAAATCAAGGACAACAGACATGTGACAGACGGAAACTTCCAAACATATGGCATCTGTCTGTATTAATGGTATGATTAAATCCTCCAAGCCTATCAATTTCTGAAATATAAAGCTTAATACAAATAGTTTCTGCCGCTGCCAGATCCCAATGTCTTGCATTCTGAAGTTTTCGTGGCAGGTGAGACAAAAACATTTTATACAAACATCTTTAATAACAGAGAATAACCAGAAAAATTTGCATCACATATTATTTTAATACTGAATGGAATTCAAATGTTAAAAGTTAAGAGTTAACAAAGACATTCAAAATCATAATATTGCAGAATTTAAGACACTGTTATACACAGTATAAATATATACCGAGATGATAGGTTTTATCGCAAAACATCTAAAATTGAAAGAATTCTACTTCCATTTAAACATTCAAACTTTAAGGCCATTTAACAATTCAAAATATACCCACTTTTTACACCACCCTTAATGTTTATTATCTAGAACTCTGCAATTTTGTTTTCATATTATTATTTTTTTTTTTTTTTTACAGAGCTCTAGATGATAAAAATATTGGATGTCTAAGGTTAGAGGTATAAGCAAAGACATTGCAAATCTAAGACACTGTTAAGGTGAAATATACAGAGAAGATTGGCTTTGTCTCCAATATCTAATAATAAAAAAATTCTTCAAAGCCATTTTCAATACCCAAGAAAAATGTACAGCTTGAAAAAAACATTTTTTTAAAATACACTAATGAAAAGAAAAAACTTATTCAACACAAATCATTTACCAATAAATATCTCTTGTATTTTATTTCGTAAATATATTGGGGAGGGGGAGAATTCAAAATATAAAAAATATAACCACTTTTTACACCACCCTTAATGTTTATTATCTAGAACTCTATTTACAATTTTGTTATTTTTTTACAGAGCTCTAGATAATAAAAATATTGGATGTCTAAGGTTAGAGGTATAAGCAAAGAAAATCAAAATAAGAATATTGCAAATTAATGACACTTTTAGAGTGTAATAAATGGAGAAGAATAGGTTTTGTCCCCAAATATCTAAAATCAAAACAATTGTACGTCCAATTAAACATTCTGACTTTAAAGTTTTAAATTTCATAAATACATTGGTGAAAAAAAGAAAATTTAAAATATGCCCACTTTTTACACCACCCTTAATGTTTATTATCTAGAACTGTTTAAATTTTGTTTTCATATTATTTTTTACATTTTTTTTTAAACAGAGCTCTAGATAATAAAAATATCAGATGTCTAAGGTTAGACACATCAACACAAGCCATGAGTTTGGTTGAAGACAAATTTACCGGTTGCAATAATTGTTCTCTATTTCTCCCCACTCATCATCATAAGTATTCTCCCTCTCCCACTCTGACCATTCTACATCTTTCTCTCTCTCCCACTGACCATATACAATTATGAAATTTCAGTCATATATTTTCATTGCCAAGAATATTTTGTCTCTGAAGTGTTCATTGTTCAACTATGCTGATAATCTGTTAAGTGTGTTATAAGTTCATCATTTGAGTCAGTTAGAGACCTAACCTCTGAGATGGTGATGAAGCAGCTGTTATGTTGATTATTGCTTTTGTTAATTTCAAAGTGTTGATAGTTTCGTCTACCCTTTACTCTATGAGTTAATCTTTCTCTTTCCTTATTCTATGTGGTCTGTTTTTACCCTTTACTCTATGAGTTAATCTTTCTCTTTCCTTATTCTATGTGGTCTGTTTTTACCCTTATCTCTATGAGTTAACTCTTTCTCTTTTCTTATTCTAGGTGGTCTTTTTTTCTTATGTATACCTTTCAGATGTTTCCAAGTTTATCAGTTCAAAGTTCATCAGTTCAACTGTTCCTCCTCACTACAAACAACAATTTAATTAGTTAATTCAATTGGATAACAAAAATTTCAAAAGAATATGGGACCAGCACTTGAATTTTGAACAAAAAGGTTTTACAGCAATAATGGAGAGCAGTTCAGTACTATTCTGAAAATTAATGTCACTACCATAGAAATATTTTCCCCAATTTAGGTCCCTCAAGCAGGCTTAGATTAAAAACTCTCAAAACAGCGTCGTTTTGTTCTAATTTCAGATATGATACAAAAAAGTGAGGTATACGGACAAAAACTAAAAATAACCAAAATACATCGACAATTATTTCATTCTTTTGACGTCTAATAATCTTTTCATAAAATTTTCCTATTTGGTCTCTTTATTTAATACAGTTGATACCTCCAGTTGGAGTCATGTTACCATTATTGCACATATAATGTTCAAGTTGACCATAGGGGGCATCTTGACATTGTTATTAAGTATAAACATTTCAGTTCATAGGTGAATACTCTACAGCAACTGTTATGATGAAGAACAATAATTAAAGTAGTTACTTTAATCAACTGGTTATTTCCAGTACATCATGTTCATAAGTTGACTGAGTGAAACAGTTCTTAAGCAGCTCTGTCACATTGCCAACCGAGAAAGATATATTTGTAAACTTCCACATCATTTGGTCTCTGGTGGAGAGTTGTCTCATCGCCAATCAAACCACATCTTCTTTTTATTAGAACATTGTGACATCAGATGGACAGATAATTAATTCGCTAAGGAAGTAAGAATACCAACCTTGTATGAGGTGAGATCCTGCTCCTGTTTTACTCCCATCAAATAATTCTGCTGGTATGATACTTGTAGCACGATTTGTCGTACATCTGAAACACAGAAAATATGTCTTAGTATTTTGGATCATCTGCATGAACAATATTTATTTATACTTTATACCTTTAAGAATTTTACAGTATACCCTTACAATATTAGAAACAACTTGAACTTATTATTTGGTCCAATACATCTCACATTTACCCCAGTAGTACTTTTTTATCAATCCGATCAATTTGCAAAACAGAATGACAGAATTACAAGAAACTACTAGGTTTTTTGAAAATTGACTTTTTTTTGTTTTGAATATTATTATTAATCCGATCAAATTTGTAAAACAGATTGACACAATTTCAAGAAATTACTAGGTATTTTGAAAATATTTTGTTTTTGTTTTGAATATTGAAAGCATATGCTGGCTGCTATTAGAGTGCTGTACAATGGTTCCAATTCCATATTAATTCATATCAGGTGATTGTATGCATCACAATCAACCCACCAGATTCCTTAAGGTAAACACTTACCGTTAATTTATCAGAATATTCTTCATAAGTCTAATATCCATATTGTGATGGATCCTTGATATGAGATGTCCAGCATAAATTTTAAGAATTTCTCCTTTCAGGTTGAACATTGAAATCTGGAATATAAAAATAATTCATATTTATGAATTGGCAGTCACATACTTCACATGAAATAATCATTTAAATTAAAACTATTTCATTAAGATTTTTGTATGTTTTTTTTTTAAATTTTATAAGAAGATAATCAAACTAATTGATTTCATTTGGTCACTGCTATATAGATTTCTCCATTGTCAATCCTACCACATCATCTTAATGTCATAGCTAATATGACATTATTGTTAAATACATTTTTTTCCCTTTTCTATCAATATATCTATGGCTGTTATTACCCTCCATCAGTGTTATTCAATAAATGATTGTAAGAAGATTCTCATTTTGCAAAGAATTCTCTCAGTTGTATGCTTGGTACAGTTGTTACTTTTAAGCTTTTTTCAAGTGCTCACTTGTATTTTTCTTTCACAATTTGATAAACTATTTCCCCTTGTTAGCATTCAATTATTATTTTTTTACTTTGTAAAAAGTTTTGGCTGATTTTACAAATAACCAACAAATCAAAATAACATGCTGCCTTACAATAGATTCTAATGAAATATTAAGCTATTATTTTTATAGGCATTTTCAATGTTTTCAACTGAGGAAATATCAATGTCTTCATCTAAGGAAATTTATTGTCAAAAAGTATTTATTGGCAGTTTTGATATAACTTTTCTTTTCGATACTAAGTATCTATATCAAGTCATACAAATTTCATAATTCTTCATGTTCAACAATAAAAAAGAAAACCAGAAAAAATTACAAAACATTATCAAAAATATATTAGCCACGAAAAATTAAATATTCAAGAAGCATCATAAATCAGGAACAAGAAAATCATAAAATAAATACACACTAACAGGTTTGGCCATTAAAATTCAAAATTTAAATTCTGTGCAAATAATACACTTTTTACAGACTTGAACTATATCAATACCTTGTGTTTTTCTTGAGAAAATGTCAGGTATGTAATGAACTGGAAATCTAATCAACTATGTGTTCTGGATAATTTCATTGCAAAAGGAAACTCTGTCTGTCTTCTGAACACTTCATTGCAACTTAGGAACATCTGTTTGTGCTATAGAATATCTGTCTTCACTATAGAACAGTATGTAGGAACATGTCTGCACCTATAAGACATTATGTAGGAACATGTCTTCACTATAGAACAATATGTAGGAATACGTCTTCACTATAAGACATTATGTAGGAACATGTCTTCACTATAGAACAATATGTAGGAATATGTCTTCACTATACAACATTATGTATGAACATGTCTTCACTATAGAACATTATGTAGGAACATGTCTTCACTATAGAACATTATGTAGGAACATGTTTTCACTATAGAACATTATGTAGGAACATGTCTTCACTATAGAACATTATGTAGGAACATGTCTTCACTATAGAACATTATGTAGGAACATGTCTTCACTATAGAACATTATGTAGGAACTTGTCTTCACTATAGAACATTATGTATGAACATGTCTTCACAATAGAACATCTGTCTTCATTAATGTTATTATACAAGTCCATAATTTTATTTTAATAGCTATTTAACTTTTAGCTTGAGTGTGCCAGTTGTCTGACTGTACATAATCCACCAATCTCATAGAAAACCTTTTAGTATTTCTGTCTTTTGTCTCTTTAGATATCATTGAAAACTTTTGTTGGATCTTTCTTGATATAAAAAAGTCATTTTCTACACAGAGCTATATTTAATTGTCCTCAATTGCCATGACAATCATTGAAGACTGAATATAGACATCTCAAATAAAAACAGTTCTAAAGTTTCACAATTTTCCAAGACTTCACAATAAACATTTTTACAAATTATACAGTGCACTATTCATAATAATAAACAAAATTTTAAATATGCCTACTTTTTACAACATCCTCAATGTTTATTATCTAGAACTCTGTTTACAAACGATTTTGTTTTCATATTTTTTGGTATTTTCTTTTTTTATTTTTTTTTTCATATTTTTTTACAGAGCTCTAAATAATAAAAATATCAGATTTTAAAGTTTAGAGGCAAAGTCATTCTAAATCAGAATATTGCAAAATTTTAATGTTAGTTGATTTTCTCATTGTTGAAGTCCATACAGTAACCTATTTTACATCAACATCATTTGGTCTCTGTAGGATAGTAATGTCTCGCATCTCTTCATTTCATAACAAATCAATTTGTAGGTTCTATAAAAATTGGCTGATGATGAAGGTAGGGGAAATTTTGACTGCCAACTGAGAGGAGGATATGTTTGGCAGTAATTAAGCCTTGCAACAGGCCACCTACTGACCCCACAAAGAGTTGTGGCAAGGGTTCTTTAACATGCAGAGTGGCACTGTCCCTACACATAGGAACTATACTTTTTAAATTGCCATTCAAATTTTTGTTTGTTTTAAATATGATAACTTTAGAAGACTTTAAGGTGGGGGTCATAAAAAATATTACAATAATCCCACCTTTTACACCACCCTCAATGTTTTTTATCTAGAACTCTGTTTACAAACAATTTTGTTTTCATATTATTTTTTGGTATTTTCATTTTTTATATATTTTTTAAATATTTTTTTACAGAGCTCTAGATAATAAAAATATCAGATGTTAAAGGTTAGAGGTATTAACAAAGTCATTCTAATTCAGAATATTGCAAAATTTTAATGTTGGTTGATTTTCTCATTGTTGAAGTCCATACAGTAACCTATTTTAAATCAACATCATTTGGTCTCTGTAGGATAGTAATGTCTCGCATCACTTCATTTCATTAAAGTGGGCCGATGATGAAGGTAAGGGAAATTTTGACTGCCAACTGAGAGGAGGATATGTTGGACAGAAATTAAGCCTTGCAACAGGCCACCTACTGACCCCTCAAAGACTTGTGGCAAGGGTTCTTTAACGTGCAGCGTGGCACTGTCTCTACACATAGGAACTATACTTTTTAAATTGCCATTCCAATTTTTGTTTGTTTTAAACATGATAACTTTAGAAGACTTTAAAACGGGAGTTATAAAAAATATTACAATAATCCCACCTTTTACACCACCCTCAATGTTTATTATCTAGAACTCTGTTTACAAACAGTTTTGTTTTCATATTATTTTTTGGGATTTTCATTTTTTATATATTTTTTTTATATTTTTTTACAGAGCTCTAGATAATAAAAATATCAGATGTTAAAGGTTAGAGGTATTAACAAAGTCATTCTAATTCAGAATATTGCAAAATTATAATGTTAGTTGATTTTCTCATTGTTGAAGTCCATACAGTAACATGCAACTTCATTTGGTCTCTGTAGGATAGTTGTCTCGCATCTCTTCTTTTCATAACAAATCAACTTGTAGGTTCTATAAAGTGGGCCGATGATGAAGGTAAGGTAATTTTGACTGCCAACTGAGAGGAGGATATGTTGGACAGAAATTAAGCCTTGCAACAGGCCACCTACTGACCCCTCAAAGACTTGTGGCAAGGGTTCTTTAACGTGCAGAGTGGCACTGTCCCTACACAAAGGAACTATACTTTTTAAATTGCCATTCCAATTTTTGTTTGTTTTAAACATGATAACTTTAGAAGACTTTAAAGCAGGGGTCATAAAAAATATTACAATAATCCCACCTTTTACACCACCCTCAATGTTTATTATCTAGAACTCTGTTTACAAACAATTTTGTTTTCATATAATTTTTTGGTATTTTCTTTTTTTATATTTTTTTTGATATTTTTTTTTACAGAGCTCAAGAAAATAAACATATCAGATGTAAAAGGTTAGAGGTATTCACCAATTCATTCTAATTCAGAATATTGTAAAATTTTAATGTTAGTTGATTTTCTCATTGTTGAAGTCCATACAGTAACATGCAACTTCATTTGGTCTCTGTAGGATAGTTGTCTCACATCTCTTCATTTCATAACAAATCAATTTGTAGGTTCTTATTATTATTATAAAGTGGGCCTATGATGAAGGTAAGGGAAATTTTGACTGCCAACTGAGAGGAGGATATGTTGGACAGAAATTAAGCCTTGCAACAGGCCACCTACTGACCCCTCAAAGACTTGTGGCAAGGGTTCTCTAACGTGCAGAGTGGCACTGTCCCTACACATAGGAATTATACTTTTTAAATTGCCATTCCAATTTTTGTTTGTTTTAAACATAACTTTAGAAGACTTTAAAGCGGGGGTCATAAAAAATATTACAATAATCCCACCTTTTACACCACCCTAAATGTTTATTATCTAGAACTCTGTTTACAAACAATTTTGTTTTCATATAATTTTTTGGTATTTTCATTTTTTATATTTTTTTTTTTTATATTTTTTTACAGAGCTCTAGATAATAAAAATATCGGATATTATTGATTGATTGATTGTTGGTTGCTTAACGTCCAGTGGCAAATATTTCATGCATATTCAGGACGAGAACAAGTTCACAATAAATACAATAGGTAGGTTCTGTAATAGATTAAGGGATTAAGGTCGGAGAAATTTAGACTGCCACTGGAAATGAGGGTATATTGGATAGGGACAAAAATTTAGCCTTGCAACAGGTCACCTATGGACCCCTCAAAGAGTTGTTGCAAGGGTTCTTAACGTGCAAAGAACGTGGCACTTTCTTTACAAGAGGCATCGGATTTAACATCCCCATTCTGACCGGACGTGGCTGCAAATTTGTACATCCCGCACAGCCAAACGGACACCCCACTTTAGCACGGGTTTTACTGCCGGTCGGAGGAAGACCAATGGTGACCATACTTCTATTCCCCAGTCAGCCTTGGGGCTATCGGATATTAAAGGTTAGAGGTATTATCAAAGTCATTCTAATTCAGAATATTGTAAAATTTTAATGTTGGTTGATTTTCTCATTGTTGAAGTCCATACAGTAACATGCAACTTCATTTGGTCTCTGTAGGTTAGTTGTCTTGCATCTCTTCATTTCATAACAAATCAATTTGTAGGTTCTATAAAGTGGGCCTATGATGAAGGTAAGGGAAATTTTGACTGCCAACTGAGAGGAGGATATGTTGGACAGAAATTAAGCCTTGCAACAGGCCACCTACTGACCCCTCAAAGACTTGTGGCAAGGGTTCTTTAACGTGCAGAGTGGCACTGTCCCTACACATAGGAACTATATACTTTTTAAATTGCCATTCCAATTTTTGTTTGTTTTAAAAATGATAACTTTAGAAGACTTTAAAGCGGGGGTCATAAAAAATATAACAATAATCCCACCTTTTACACCACCCTCAATGTTTATTATCTAGAACTCTGTTTACAAACAATTTTGTTTTCATATCATTTTTTGGTATTTTCATTTTTGATAATTTTTTTTGTATATATTTTTTGGCATTTTCATTTTTTATATTTTTTTTGTATATTTTTTTACAGAGCTCTAGATAATAAAAATATCGGATGTTAAAGGTTAGAGGTATTAACAAAGTCATTCTAATTCAGAATATTGCAAAAATTTAATGTTGGATGATTTTCTCATTGTTGAAGTCCATACAGTAACCTATTTTACATCAACATCATTTGGTCTTTCTGTACGATAGTAATGTCTCGCATCTCTTCATTTCATAACAAATCAATTTGTAGGTTCTATAAAGTGGGCCTATGATGAAGGTAAGGGAAATTTTGACTGCCAACTGAGAGGAGGATATGTTGGACAGAAATTAAGCCTTGCAACAGGCCACCTACTGACCCCTCAAAGACTTGTGGCAAGGGTTCTTTAACGTGCAGAGTGGCACTGTCCCTACACATAGGAACTATATACTTTTTAAATTGCCATTCCAATTTTTGTTTGTTTTAAAAATGATAACTTTAGAAGACTTTAAAGCGGGGGTCATAAAAAATATAACAATAATCCCACCTTTTACACCACCCTCAATGTTTATTATCTAGAACTCTGTTTACAAACAATTTTGTTTTCATATCATTTTTTGGTATTTTCATTTTTGATAATTTTTTTTGTATATATTTTTTGGCATTTTCATTTTTTATATTTTTTTTGTATATTTTTTTACAGAGCTCTAGATAATAAAAATATCGGATGTTAAAGGTTAGAGGTATTAACAAAGTCATTCTAATTCAGAATATTGCAAAATTTTAATGTTGGATGATTTTCTCATTGTTGAAGTCCATACAGTAACCTATTTTACATCAACATCATTTGGTCTCTCTGTAGGATAGTAATGTCTCGCATCTCTTCATTTCATAACAAATCAATTTGTAGGTTCTATAAAGTGGGCCTATGATGAAGGTAAGGGAAATTTTGACTGCCAACTGAGAGGAGGATATGTTGGACAGAAATTAAGCCTTGCAACAGGCCACCTACTGACCCCTCAAAGACTTGTGGCAAGGGTTCTTTAACGTGCAGAGTGGCACTGTCCCTACACATAGGAACTATATACTTTTTAAATTGCCATTCCAATTTTTGTTTGTTTTAAAAATGATAACTTTAGAAGACTTTAAAGCGGGGGTCATAAAAAATATTACAATAATCCCACCTTTTACACCACCCTCAATGTTTATTATCTAGAACTCTGTTTACAAACAATTTTGTTTTCATATCATTTTTTGGTATTTTCATTTTTGATATTTTTTTTGTATATATTTTTTGGTATTTTCATTTTATATATTTTTTTTGTATATATTTTTTACAGAGCTCTAGATAATAAAAATATCGGATGTTAAAGGTTAGAGGTATTAACAAAGTCATTCTAATTCAGAATATTGCAAAATTTTAATGTTGGATGATTTTCTCATTGTTGAAGTCCATACAGTAACCTATTTTACATCAACATCATTTGGTCTCTCTGTAGGATAGTAATGTCTCGCATCTCTTCATTTCATAACAAATCAATTTGTAGGTTCTATAAAGTGGGCCTATGATGAAGGTAAGGGAAATTTTGACTGCCAAATGAGAGGAGGATATGTTGGACAGAAATTAAGCCTTGCAACAGGCCACCTACTGACCCCTCAAAGACTTGTGGCAAGGGTTCTTTAACGTGCAGAGTGGCACTGTCCCTACACATAGGAACTATATACTTTTTAAATTGCCATTCCAATTTTTGTTTGTTTTAAAAATGATAACTTTAGAAGACTTTAAAGCGGGGGTCATAAAAAATATTACAATAATCCCACCTTTTACACCACCCTCAATGTTTATTATCTAGAACTCTGTTTACAAACAGTTTTGTTTTCATATAATTTTTTGGTATTTTCATTTTTTATATTTTTTTACAGAGCTCTAGATAATAAAAATATCGGATATTATTGATTGATTGATTGTTGGTTGGTTGCTTAACGTCCAGTGGCAAATATTTCATGCATATTCAGGACGAGAACAAGTTCACTATAAATACAATAGGTAGGTTCTGTAATAGATTAAGGGATTAAGGTCGGAGAAATTTAGACTGCCACTGGAAATGAGGGTATATTGGATAGGGACAAAAATTTAGCCTTGCAACAGGTCACCTATGGATCCCTCAAAGAGTTGTTGCAAGGGTTCTTAACGTGCAAAGAACGTGGCACTTTCTTTACAAGAGGCATCGGATTTAACGTCCCCATTCTGACCGGACGTGGCTGAAGATTTGTACATCCCGCACAGCCAAAGGGACGCCCCACTTTAGCACGGGTTTTACTGCCGGTCGGAGGAAGACCAATGGTGACCATACTTCTATTCCCCAGTCAGCCTTGGGGCTATCGGATATTAAAGGTTAGAGGTATTATCAAAGTCATTCTAATTCAGAATATTGTAAAATTTTAATGTTGGTTGATTTTCTCATTGTTGAAGTCCATACAGTAACATGCAACTTCATTTGGTCTCTGTAGGTTAGTTGTCTTGCATCTCTTCATTTCATAACAAATCAATTTGTAGGTTCTATAAAGTGGGCCTATGATGAAGGTAAGGGAAATTTTGACTGCCAACTGAGAGGAGGATATGTTGGACAGAAATTAAGCCTTGCAACAGGCCACCTACTGACCCCTCAAAGACTTGTGGCAAGGGTTCTTTAACGTGCAGAGTGGCACTGTCCCTACACATAGGAACTATATACTTTTTAAATTGCCATTCCAATTTTTGTTTGTTTTAAAAATGATAACTTTAGAAGACTTTAAAGCGGGGGTCATAAAAAATATAACAATAATCCCACCTTTTACACCACCCTCAATGTTTATTATCTAGAACTCTGTTTACAAACAATTTTGTTTTCATATCATTTTTTGGTATTTTCATTTTTGATAATTTTTTTTGTATATATTTTTTGGCATTTTCATTTTTTATATTTTTTTTGTATATTTTTTTACAGAGCTCTAGATAATAAAAATATCGGATGTTAAAGGTTAGAGGTATTAACAAAGTCATTCTAATTCAGAATATTGCAAAAATTTAATGTTGGATGATTTTCTCATTGTTGAAGTCCATACAGTAACCTATTTTACATCAACATCATTTGGTCTTTCTGTACGATAGTAATGTCTCGCATCTCTTCATTTCATAACAAATCAATTTGTAGGTTCTATAAAGTGGGCCTATGATGAAGGTAAGGGAAATTTTGACTGCCAACTGAGAGGAGGATATGTTGGACAGAAATTAAGCCTTGCAACAGGCCACCTACTGACCCCTCAAAGACTTGTGGCAAGGGTTCTTTAACGTGCAGAGTGGCACTGTCCCTACACATAGGAACTATATACTTTTTAAATTGCCATTCCAATTTTTGTTTGTTTTAAAAATGATAACTTTAGAAGACTTTAAAGCGGGGGTCATAAAAAATATAACAATAATCCCACCTTTTACACCACCCTCAATGTTTATTATCTAGAACTCTGTTTACAAACAATTTTGTTTTCATATCATTTTTTGGTATTTTCATTTTTGATAATTTTTTTTGTATATATTTTTTGGCATTTTCATTTTTTATATTTTTTTTGTATATTTTTTTACAGAGCTCTAGATAATAAAAATATCGGATGTTAAAGGTTAGAGGTATTAACAAAGTCATTCTAATTCAGAATATTGCAAAATTTTAATGTTGGATGATTTTCTCATTGTTGAAGTCCATACAGTAACCTATTTTACATCAACATCATTTGGTCTCTCTGTAGGATAGTAATGTCTCGCATCTCTTCATTTCATAACAAATCAATTTGTAGGTTCTATAAAGTGGGCCTATGATGAAGGTAAGGGAAATTTTGACTGCCAACTGAGAGGAGGATATGTTGGACAGAAATTAAGCCTTGCAACAGGCCACCTACTGACCCCTCAAAGACTTGTGGCAAGGGTTCTTTAACGTGCAGAGTGGCACTGTCCCTACACATAGGAACTATATACTTTTTAAATTGCCATTCCAATTTTTGTTTGTTTTAAAAATGATAACTTTAGAAGACTTTAAAGCGGGGGTCATAAAAAATATTACAATAATCCCACCTTTTACACCACCCTCAATGTTTATTATCTAGAACTCTGTTTACAAACAATTTTGTTTTCATATCATTTTTTGGTATTTTCATTTTTGATATTTTTTTTGTATATATTTTTTGGTATTTTCATTTTATATATTTTTTTTGTATATATTTTTTACAGAGCTCTAGATAATAAAAATATCGGATGTTAAAGGTTAGAGGTATTAACAAAGTCATTCTAATTCAGAATATTGCAAAATTTTAATGTTGGATGATTTTCTCATTGTTGAAGTCCATACAGTAACCTATTTTACATCAACATCATTTGGTCTCTCTGTAGGATAGTAATGTCTCGCATCTCTTCATTTCATAACAAATCAATTTGTAGGTTCTATAAAGTGGGCCTATGATGAAGGTAAGGGAAATTTTGACTGCCAAATGAGAGGAGGATATGTTGGACAGAAATTAAGCCTTGCAACAGGCCACCTACTGACCCCTCAAAGACTTGTGGCAAGGGTTCTTTAACGTGCAGAGTGGCACTGTCCCTACACATAGGAACTATATACTTTTTAAATTGCCATTCCAATTTTTGTTTGTTTTAAAAATGATAACTTTAGAAGACTTTAAAGCGGGGGTCATAAAAAATATTACAATAATCCCACCTTTTACACCACCCTCAATGTTTATTATCTAGAACTCTGTTTACAAACAGTTTTGTTTTCATATAATTTTTTGGTATTTTCATTTTTTATATTTTTTTACAGAGCTCTAGATAATAAAAATATCGGATATTATTGATTGATTGATTGTTGGTTGGTTGCTTAACGTCCAGTGGCAAATATTTCATGCATATTCAGGACGAGAACAAGTTCACTATAAATACAATAGGTAGGTTCTGTAATAGATTAAGGGATTAAGGTCGGAGAAATTTAGACTGCCACTGGAAATGAGGGTATATTGGATAGGGACAAAAATTTAGCCTTGCAACAGGTCACCTATGGATCCCTCAAAGAGTTGTTGCAAGGGTTCTTAACGTGCAAAGAACGTGGCACTTTCTTTACAAGAGGCATCGGATTTAACGTCCCCATTCTGACCGGACGTGGCTGAAGATTTGTACATCCCGCACAGCCAAAGGGACGCCCCACTTTAGCACGGGTTTTACTGCCGGTCGGAGGAAGACCAATGGTGACCATACTTCTATTCCCCAGTCAGCCTTGGGGCTATCGGATATTAAAGGTTAGAGGTATTATCAAAGTCATTCTAATTCAGAATATTGTAAAATTTTAATGTTGGTTGATTTTCTCATTGTTGAAGTCCATACAGTAACATGCAACTTCATTTGGTCTCTGTAGGTTAGTTGTCTTGCATCTCTTCATTTCATAACAAATCAATTTGTAGGTTCTATAAAGTGGGCCTATGATGAAGGTAAGGGAAATTTTGACTGCCAACTGAGAGGAGGATATGTTGGACAGAAATTAAGCCTTGCAACAGGCCACCTACTGACCCCTCAAAGACTTGTGGCAAGGGTTCTTTAACGTGCAGAGTGGCACTGTCCCTACACATAGGAACTATATACTTTTTAAATTGCCATTCCAATTTTTGTTTGTTTTAAAAATGATAACTTTAGAAGACTTTAAAGCGGGGGTCATAAAAAATATAACAATAATCCCACCTTTTACACCACCCTCAATGTTTATTATCTAGAACTCTGTTTACCACCAATTTTGTTTTCATATCATTTTTTGGTATTTTCATTTTTTGATAATTTTTTTTGTATATATTTTTTGGCATTTTCATTTTTTATATTTTTTTTGTATATTTTTTTACAGAGCTCTAGATAATAAAAATATCGGATGTTAAAGGTTAGAGGTATTAACAAAGTCATTCTAATTCAGAATATTGCAAAAATTTAATGTTGGATGATTTTCTCATTGTTGAAGTCCATACAGTAACCTATTTTACATCAACATCATTTGGTCTTTCTGTACGATAGTAATGTCTCGCATCTCTTCATTTCATAACAAATCAATTTGTAGGTTCTATAAAGTGGGCCTATGATGAAGGTAAGGGAAATTTTGACTGCCAACTGAGAGGAGGATATGTTGGACAGAAATTAAGCCTTGCAACAGGCCACCTACTGACCCCTCAAAGACTTGTGGCAAGGGTTCTTTAACGTGCAGAGTGGCACTGTCCCTACACATAGGAACTATATACTTTTTAAATTGCCATTCCAATTTTTGTTTGTTTTAAAAATGATAACTTTAGAAGACTTTAAAGCGGGGGTCATAAAAAATATAACAATAATCCCACCTTTTACACCACCCTCAATGTTTATTATCTAGAACTCTGTTTACAAACAATTTTGTTTTCATATCATTTTTTGGTATTTTCATTTTTGATAATTTTTTTTGTATATATTTTTTGGCATTTTCATTTTTTATATTTTTTTTGTATATTTTTTTACAGAGCTCTAGATAATAAAAATATCGGATGTTAAAGGTTAGAGGTATTAACAAAGTCATTCTAATTCAGAATATTGCAAAATTTTAATGTTGGATGATTTTCTCATTGTTGAAGTCCATACAGTAACCTATTTTACATCAACATCATTTGGTCTCTCTGTAGGATAGTAATGTCTCGCATCTCTTCATTTCATAACAAATCAATTTGTAGGTTCTATAAAGTGGGCCTATGATGAAGGTAAGGGAAATTTTGACTGCCAACTGAGAGGAGGATATGTTGGACAGAAATTAAGCCTTGCAACAGGCCACCTACTGACCCCTCAAAGACTTGTGGCAAGGGTTCTTTAACGTGCAGAGTGGCACTGTCCCTACACATAGGAACTATATACTTTTTAAATTGCCATTCCAATTTTTGTTTGTTTTAAAAATGATAACTTTAGAAGACTTTAAAGCGGGGGTCATAAAAAATATTACAATAATCCCACCTTTTACACCACGCTCAATGTTTATTATCTAGAACTCTGTTTACAAACAATTTTGTTTTCATATCATTTTTTGGTATTTTCATTTTTGATATTTTTTTTGTATATATTTTTTGGTATTTTCATTTTATATATTTTTTTTGTATATATTTTTTACAGAGCTCTAGATAATAAAAATATCGGATGTTAAAGGTTAGAGGTATTAACAAAGTCATTCTAATTCAGAATATTGCAAAATTTTAATGTTGGATGATTTTCTCATTGTTGAAGTCCATACAGTAACCTATTTTACATCAACATCATTTGGTCTCTCTGTAGGATAGTAATGTCTCGCATCTCTTCATTTCATAACAAATCAATTTGTAGGTTCTATAAAGTGGGCCTATGATGAAGGTAAGGGAAATTTTGACTGCCAACTGAGAGGAGGATATGTTGGACAGAAATTAAGCCTTGCAACAGGCCACCTACTGACCCCTCAAAGACTTGTGGCAAGGGTTCTTTAACGTGCAGAGTGGCACTGTCCCTACACATAGGAACTATATACTTTTTAAATTGCCATTCCAATTTTTGTTTGTTTTAAAAATGATAACTTTAGAAGACTTTAAAGCGGGGGTCATAAAAAATATTACAATAATCCCACCTTTTACACCACCCTCAATGTTTATTATCTAGAACTCTGTTTACAAACAGTTTTGTTTTCATATAATTTTTTGGTATTTTCTTTTTTTATATTTTTTTTGATATTTTTTTTTACAGAGCTCAAGAAAATAAACATATCAGATGTAAAAGGTTAGAGGTATTCACCAATTCATTCTAATTCAGAATATTGTAAAATTTTAATGTTAGTTGATTTTCTCATTGTTGAAGTCCATACAGTAACATGCAACTTCATTTGGTCTCTCTGTAGGATAGTAATGTCTCGCATCTCTTCATTTCATAACAAATCAATTTGTAGGTTCTATAAAGTGGGCCTATGATGAAGGTAAGGGAAATTTTGACTGCCAACTGAGAGGAGGATATGTTGGACAGAAATTAAGCCTTGCAACAGGCCACCTACTGACCCCTCAAAGACTTGTGGCAAGGGTTCTTTAACGTGCAGAGTGGCACTGTCCCTACACATAGGAACTATATACTTTTTAAATTGCCATTCCAATTTTTGTTTGTTTTAAAAATGATAACTTTAGAAGACTTTAAAGCGGGGGTCATAAAAAATATTACAATAATCCCACCTTTTACACCACGCTCAATGTTTATTATCTAGAACTCTGTTTACAAACAATTTTGTTTTCATATCATTTTTTGGTATTTTCATTTTTGATATTTTTTTTGTATATATTTTTTGGTATTTTCATTTTATATATTTTTTTTGTATATATTTTTTACAGAGCTCTAGATAATAAAAATATCGGATGTTAAAGGTTAGAGGTATTAACAAAGTCATTCTAATTCAGAATATTGCAAAATTTTAATGTTGGATGATTTTCTCATTGTTGAAGTCCATACAGTAACCTATTTTACATCAACATCATTTGGTCTCTCTGTAGGATAGTAATGTCTCGCATCTCTTCATTTCATAACAAATCAATTTGTAGGTTCTATAAAGTGGGCCTATGATGAAGGTAAGGGAAATTTTGACTGCCAACTGAGAGGAGGATATGTTGGACAGAAATTAAGCCTTGCAACAGGCCACCTACTGACCCCTCAAAGACTTGTGGCAAGGGTTCTTTAACGTGCAGAGTGGCACTGTCCCTACACATAGGAACTATATACTTTTTAAATTGCCATTCCAATTTTTGTTTGTTTTAAAAATGATAACTTTAGAAGACTTTAAAGCGGGGGTCATAAAAAATATTACAATAATCCCACCTTTTACACCACCCTCAATGTTTATTATCTAGAACTCTGTTTACAAACAGTTTTGTTTTCATATAATTTTTTGGTATTTTCATTTTTTATATTTTTTTACAGAGCTCTAGATAATAAAAATATCGGATATTATTGATTGATTGATTGTTGGTTGGTTGCTTAACGTCCAGTGGCAAATATTTCATGCATATTCAGGACGAGAACAAGTTCACTATAAATACAATAGGTAGGTTCTGTAATAGATTAAGGGATTAAGGTCGGAGAAATTTAGACTGCCACTGGAAATGAGGGTATATTGGATAGGGACAAAAATTTAGCCTTGCAACAGGTCACCTATGGATCCCTCAAAGAGTTGTTGCAAGGGTTCTTAACGTGCAAAGAACGTGGCACTTTCTTTACAAGAGGCATCGGATTTAACGTCCCCATTCTGACCGGACGTGGCTGAAGATTTGTACATCCCGCACAGCCAAAGGGACGCCCCACTTTAGCACGGGTTTTACTGCCGGTCGGAGGAAGACCAATGGTGACCATACTTCTATTCCCCAGTCACCCTTGGGGCTATCGGATATTAAAGGTTAGAGGTATTATCAAAGTCATTCTAATTCAGAATATTGCAAAATTTTAATGTTGGTTGATTTTCTCATTGTTGAAGTCCATACAGTAACATGCAACTTCATTTGGTCTCTGTAGGTTAGTTGTCTTGCATCTCTTCATTTCATAACAAATCAATTTGTAGGTTCTATAAAGTGGGCCTATGATGAAGGTAAGGGAAATTTTGACTGCCAACTGAGAGGAGGATATGTTGGACAGAAATTAAGCCTTGCAACAGGCCACCTACTGACCCCTCAAAGACTTGTGGCAAGGGTTCTTTAACGTGCAGAGTGGCACTGTCCCTACACATAGGAACTATATACTTTTTAAATTGCCATTCCAATTTTTGTTTGTTTTAAAAATGATAACTTTAGAAGACTTTAAAGCGGGGGTCATAAAAAATATAACAATAATCCCACCTTTTACACCACCCTCAATGTTTATTATCTAGAACTCTGTTTACAAACAATTTTGTTTTCATATCATTTTTTGGTATTTTCATTTTTGATAATTTTTTTTGTATATATTTTTTGGCATTTTCATTTTATATATTTTTTTTGTATATTTTTTTACAGAGCTCTAGATAATAAAAATATCGGATGTTAAAGGTTAGAGGTATTAACAAAGTCATTCTAATTCAGAATATTGCAAAATTTTAATGTTGGATGATTTTCTCATTGTTGAAGTCCATACAGTAACCTATTTTACATCAACATCATTTGGTCTCTCTGTAGGATAGTAATGTCTCGCATCTCTTCATTTCATAACAAATCAATTTGTAGGTTCTATAAAGTGGGCCTATGATGAAGGTAAGGGAAATTTTGACTGCCAACTGAGAGGAGGATATGTTGGACAGAAATTAAGCCTTGCAACAGGCCACCTACTGACCCCTCAAAGACTTGTGGCAAGGGTTCTTTAACGTGCAGAGTGGCACTGTCCCTACACATAGGAACTATATACTTTTTAAATTGCCATTCCAATTTTTGTTTGTTTTAAAAATGATAACTTTAGAAGACTTTAAAGCGGGGGTCATAAAAAATATTACAATAATCCCACCTTTTACACCACCCTCACTGTTTATTATCTAGAACTCTGTTTACAAACAATTTTGTTTTCATATCATTTTTTGGTATTTTCATTTTTGATATTTTTTTTGTATATATTTTTTGGTATTTTCATTTTTTATATTTTTTTTGTATATTTTTTTACAGAGCTCTAGATAATAAAAATATCAGATGTTAAAGGTTAGAGGTATTAACAAAGTCATTCTAATTCAGAATATTGCAAAATTTTAATGTTGGATGATTTTCTCATTGTTGAAGTCCATACAGTAACCTATTTTACATCATCATTTGGTCTCTCTGTAGGATAGTAATGTCTCGCATCTCTTCATTTCATAACAAATCAATTTGTAGGTTCTATAAAGTGGGCCTATGATGAAGGTTAGGGAAATTTTGACTGCCAACTGAGAGGAGGATATGTTGGACAGAAATTAAGCCTTGCAACAGGCCACCTACTGACCCCTCAAAGACTTGAGGCAAGGGTTCTTTAACGTGCAGAGTGGCATTGTCCCTACACATAGGAACTATATACTTTTTAAATTGCCATTCCAATATTTGTTTGTTTTAAAAATGATAACTTAAGAAGACTTTAAAGCGGGGGTCATAAAAAATATTACAATAATCCCACCTTTTACACCACCCTCAATGTTTATTATCTAGAACTCTGTTTACAAACAATTTTGTTTTCATATCATTTTTTGGTATTTTCATTTTTGATATTTTTTTTGTATATATTTTTTGGTATTTTCATTTTTTATATTTTTTTTGTATATTTTTTTACAGAGCTCTAGATAATAAAAATATCGGATGTTAAAGGTAAGAGGTATTAAAGTCATTCTAATTCAGAATATTGCAAAATTTTAATGTTGGATGATTTTCTCATTGTTGAAGTCCATACAGTAACCTATTTTACATCAACATCATTTGGTCTCTCTGTAGGATAGTAATGTCTCGCATCTCTTCATTTCATAACAAATCAATTTGTAGGTTCTATAAAGTGGGCCTATGATGAAGGTAAGGGAAATTTTGACTGCCAACTGAGAGGAGGATATGTTGGACAGAAATTAAGCCTTGCAACAGGCCACCTACTGACCCCTCAAAGACTTGTGGCAAGGGTTCTTTAACGTGCAGAGTGGCACTGTCCCTACACATAGGAACTATATACTTTTTAAATTGCCATTCCAATTTTTGTTTGTTTTAAAAATGATAACTTTAGAAGACTTTAAAGCGGGGGTCATAAAAAATATAACAATAATCCCACCTTTTACACCACCCTCAATGTTTATTATCTAGAACTCTGTTTACAAACAATTTTGTTTTCATATCATTTTTTGGTATTTTCATTTTTGATAATTTTTTTTGTATATATTTTTTGGCATTTTCATTTTATATATTTTTTTTGTATATTTTCTAACAGAGCTCTAGATAATAAAAATATCGGATGTTAAAGGTTAGAGGTATTAACAAAGTCATTCTAATTCAGAATATTGCAAAATTTTAATGTTGGATGATTTTCTCATTGTTGAAGTCCATACAGTAACCTATTTTACATCAACATCATTTGGTCTCTCTGTAGGATAGTAATGTCTCGCATCTCTTCATTTCATAACAAATCAATTTGTAGGTTCTATAAAGTGGGCCTATGATGAAGGTAAGGGAAATTTTGACTGCCAACTGAGAGGAGGATATGTTGGACAGAAATTAAGATTTGCAACAGGCCACCTACTGACCCCTCAAAGACTTGTGGCAAGGGTTCTTTAACGTGCAGAGTGGCACTGTTCCTACACATAGGAACTATATACTTTTTAAATTGCCATTCCAATTTTTGTTTGTTTTAAAAATGATAACTTTAGAAGACTTTAAAGCGGGGGTCATAAAAAATATTACAATAATCCCACCTTTTACACCACCCTCAATGTTTATTATCTAGAACTCTGTTTACAAACAATTTTGTTTTCATATCATTTTTTGGTATTTTCATTTTTGATATTTTTTTTGTATATATTTTTTGGTATTTTCATTTTTTATATTTTTTTTGTATATTTTTTTACAGAGCTCTAGATAATAAAAATATCGGATGTTAAAGGTTAGAGGTATTAAAGTCATTCTAATTCAGAATATTGCAAAATTTTAATGTTGGATGATTTTCTCATTGTTGAAGTCCATACAGTAACCTATTTTACATCAACATCATTTGGTCTCTCTGTAGGATAGTAATGTCTCGCATCTCTTCATTTCATAACAAATCAATTTGTAGGTTCTATAAAGTGGGCCTATGATGAAGGTAAGGGAAATTTTGACTGCCAACTGAGAGGAGGATATGTTGGACAGAAATTAAGCCTTGCAACAGGCCACCTACTGACCCCTCAAAGACTTGTGGCAAGGGTTCTTTAACGTGCAGAGTGGCACTGTCCCTACACATAGGAACTATATACTTTTTAAATTGCCATTCCAATTTTTGTTTGTTTTAAAAATGATAACTTTAGAAGACTTTAAAGCGGGGGTCATAAAGAAAATTACAATAATCCCACCTTTTACACCACCCTCAATGTTTATTATCTAGAACTCTGTTTACAAACAGTTTTGTTTTCATATAATTTTTTGGTATTTTCATTTTTTATATTTTTTTTTTTAATATTTTTTTACAGAGCTCTAGATAATAAAAATATCGGATATTATTGATTGATTGATTGTTGGTTGCTTAACGTCCAGTGGCAAATATTTCATGCATATTCAGGACGAGAACAAGTTCACAATAAATACAATAGGTAGGTTCTGTAATAGATTAAGGGATTAAGGTCGGAGAAATTTAGACTGCCACTGGAAATGAGGGTATATTGGATAGGGACAAAAATTTAGCCTTGCAACAGGTCACCTATGGACCCCTCAAAGAGTTGTTGCAAGGGTTCTTAACGTGCAAAGAACGTGGCACTTTCTTTACAAGAGGCATCGGATTTAACGTCCCCATTCTGACCGGACGTGGCTGCAAATTTGTACATCCCGCACAGCCAAAGGGACGCCCCACTTTAGCACGGGTTTTACTGCCGGTCGGAGGAAGACCAATGGTGACCATACTTCTATTCCCCAGTCACCCTTGGGGCTATCGGATATTAAAGGTTAGAGGTATTATCAAAGTCATTCTAATTCAGAATATTGCAAAAATTTTAATGTTGGTTGATTTTCTCATTGTTGAAGTCCATACAGTAACATGCAACTTCATTTGGTCTCTGTAGGTTAGTTGTCTTGCATCTCTTCATTTCATAACAAATCAATTTGTAGGTTCTATAAAGTGGGCCTATGATGAAGGTAAGGGAAATTTTGACTGCCAACTGAGAGGAGGATATGTTGGACAGAAATTAAGCCTTGCAACAGGCCACCTACTGACCCCTCAAAGACTTGTGGCAAGGGTTCTTTAACGTGCAGAGTGGCACTGTCCCTACACATAGGAACTATATACTTTTTAAATTGCCATTCCAATTTTTGTTTGTTTTAAAAATGATAACTTTAGAAGACTTTAAAGCGGGGGTCATAAAAAATATAACAATAATCCCACCTTTTACACCACCCTCAATGTTTATTATCTAGAACTCTGTTTACAAACAATTTTGTTTTCATATCATTTTTTGGTATTTTCATTTTTGATAATTTTTTTTGTATATATTTTTTGGCATTTTCATTTTATATATTTTTTTTGTATATTTTTTTACAGAGCTCTAGATAATAAAAATATCGGATGTTAAAGGTTAGAGGTATTAACAAAGTCATTCTAATTCAGAATATTGCAAAATTTTAATGTTGGATGATTTTCTCATTGTTGAAGTCCATACAGTAACCTATTTTACATCAACATCATTTGGTCTCTCTGTAGGATAGTAATGTCTCGTATCTCTTCATTTCATAACAAATCAATTTGTAGGTTCTATAAAGTGGGCCTATGATGAAGGTAAGGGAAATTTTGACTGCCAACTGAGAGGAGGATATGTTGGACAGAAATTAAGATTTGCAACAGGCCACCTACTGACCCCTCAAAGACTTGTGGCAAGGGTTCTTTAACGTGCAGAGTGGCACTGTCCCTACACATAGGAACTATATACTTTTTAAATTGCCATTCCAATTTTTGTTTGTTTTAAAAATGATAACTTTAGAAGACTTTAAAGCGGGGGTCATAAAAAATATTACAATAATCCCACCTTTTACACCACCCTCAATGTTTATTATCTAGAACTCTGTTTACAAACAATTTTGTTTTCATATCATTTTTTGGTATTTTCATTTTTGATATTTTTTTTGTATATATTTTTTTGTATTTTCATTTTTTATATTTTTTTTGTATATTTTTTTACAGAGCTCTAAATAATAAAAATATCGGATTTTAAAAGGTTAGAGGTATTAACAAAGTCATTCTAATTCAGAATATTGCAAAATTTTAATGTTGGATGATTTTCTCATTGTTGAAGTCCATACAGTAACCTATTTTACATCAACATCATTTGGTCTCTCTGTACGATAGTAATGTCTCGCATCTCTTCATTTCATAACAAATCAATTTGTAGGTTCTATAAAGTGGGCCTATGATGAAGGTAAGGGAAATTTTGACTGCCAACTGAGAGGAGGATATGTTGGACAGAAATTAAGCCTTGCAACAGGCCACCTACTGACCCCTCAAAGACTTGTGGCAAGGGTTCTTTAACGTGCAGAGTGGCACTGTCCCTACACATAGGAACTATATACTTTTTAAATTGCCATTCCAATTTTTGTTTGTTTTAAAAATGATAACTTTAGAAGACTTTAAAGTGGGGGTCATAAAAAATATTACAATAATCCCACCTTTTACACCACCCTCAATGTTTATTATCTAGAACTCTGTTTACAAACAGTTTTGTTTTCATATAATTTTTTGGTATTTTCATTTTTTATATTTTTTTTTTTTATATTTTTGTACAGAGCTCTAGATAATAAAAATATCGGATATTATTGATTGATTGATTGTTGTTTGCTTAACGTCCAGTGGCAAATATTTCATGCATATTCAGGACGAGAACAAGTTCACAATAAATACAATAGGTAGGTTCTGTAATAGATTAAGGGATTAAGGTCGGAGAAATTTAGACTGCCACTGGAAATGAGGGTATATTGGATAGGGACAAAAATTTAGCCTTGCAACAGGTCACCTATGGACCCCTCAAAGAGTTGTTGCAAGGGTTCTTAACGTGGCACTTTCTTTACAAGAGGCATCGGATTTAACGTCCCCATTCTGACTGGACGTGGCTGCAAATTTGTACATCCCGCACAGCCAAAGGGACGCCCCACTTAAGCACGGGTTTTACTGCCGGTCGGAGGAAGACCAATGGTGACCATACTTCTATTCCCCAGTCACCCTTGGGGCTATCGGATATTAAAGGTTAGAGGTATTATCAAAGTCATTCTAATTCAGAATATTGCAAAATTTTAATGTTGGTTGATTTTCTCATTGTTGAAGTCCATACAGTAACATGCAACTTCATTTGGTCTCTGTAGGTTAGTTGTCTTGCATCTCTTCATTTCATAACAAATCAATTTGTAGGTTCTATAAAGTGGGCCTATGATGAAGGTAAGGGAAATTTTGACTGCCAACTGAGAGGAGGATATGTTGGACAAAAATTAAGCCTTGCAACAGGCCACCTACTGACCCCTCAAAGACTTGTGGCAAGGGTTCTTTAACGTGCAGAGTGGCACTGTTCCTACACATAGGAACTATATACTTTTTAAATTGCCATTCCAATTTTTGTTTGTTTTAAAAATGATAACTTTAGAAGACTTTAAAGCGGGGGTCATAAAAAATATTACAATAATCCCACCTTTTACACCACCCTCAATGTTTATTATCTAGAACTCTGTTTACAAACAATTTTGTTTTCATATCTTTTTTTGGTATTTTCATTTTTGATATTTTTTTTGTATATATTTTTTTGTATTTTCATTTTTTATATTTTTTTTGTATATTTTTTTACAGAGCTCTAGATAATAAAAATATCGGATGTTAAAGGTTAGAGGTATTAACAAAGTCATTCTAATTCAGAATATTGCAAAATTTTAATGTTGGATGATTTTCTCATTGTTGAAGTCCATACAGTAACCTATTTTACATCAACATCATTTGGTCTCTCTGTAGGATAGTAATGTCTCGCATCTCTTCATTTCATAACAAATCAATTTGTAGGTTCTATAAAGTGGGCCTGTGATGAAGGTAAGGGAAATTTTGACTGCCAACTGAGAGGAGGATATGTTGGACAGAAATTAAGCCTTGCAACAGGCCACCTACTGACCCCTCAAAGACTTGTGGCAAGGGTTCTTTAACGTGCAGAGTGGCACTGTCCCTACACATAGGAACTATATACTTTTTAAATTGCCATTCCAATTTTTGTTTGTTTTAAAAATGATAACTTTAGAAGACTTTAAAGTGGGGGTCATAAAAAATATTACAATAATCCCACCTTTTACACCACCCTCAATGTTTATTATCTAGAACTCTGTTTACAAACAGTTTTGTTTTCATATAATTTTTTGGTATTTTCATTTTTTATATTTTTTTTTTTTATATTTTTTTAGAGCTCTAGATAATAAAAATATCGGATATTATTGATTGATTGATTGTTGGTTGCTTAACGTCCAGTGGCAAATATTTCATGCATATTCAGGACGAGAACAAGTTCACAATAAATACAATAGGTAGGTTCTGTAATAGATTAAGGGATTAAGGTCGGAGAAATTTAGACTGCCACTGGAAATGAGGGTATATTGGATAGGGACAAAAATTTAGCCTTGCAACAGGTCACCTATGGACCCCTCAAAGAGTTGTTGCAAGGGTTCTTAACGTGCAAAGAACGTGGCACTTTCTTTACAAGAGGCATCGGATTTAACGTCCCCATTCTGACTGGACGTGGCTGCAAATTTGTACATCCCGCACAGCCAAAGGGACGCCCCACTTTAGCACGGGTTTTACTGCCGGTCGGAGGAAGACCAATGGTGACCATACTTCTATTCCCCAGTCACCCTTGGGGCTATCGGATATTAAAGGTTAGAGGTATTATCAAAGTCATTCTAATTCAGAATATTGCAAAATTTTAATGTTGGTTGATTTTCTCATTGTTGAAGTCCATACAGTAACATGCAACTTCATTTGGTCTCTGTAGGTTAGTTGTCTTGCATCTCTTCATTTCATAACAAATCAATGTGTAGGTTCTATAAAGTGGGCCTATAACGAAGGTAAGGGAAATTTTGACTGCCAACTGAGAGGAGGATATGTTGGAAAAGAAATTAAGCCTTGCAACAGGCCACCTACTGACCCCTCAAAGACTTGTGGCAAGGGTTCTTTAACGTGCAGAGTGGCACTGTCCCTACACATAGGAACTATATACTTTTTAAATTGCCATTCCAATTTTTGTTTGTTTTAAAAATGATAACTTTAGAAGACTTTAAGGCAGGGGTCATAAAAAATATTACAATAATCCCACCTTTTAAACCACCCTCAATGTTTATTATCTAGAACTCTGTTTACAAACAATTTTGTTTTCGTATTATTTTTTGGTATTTTCATTTTTGATATTTTTTTTGTATATATTTTTTGGTATTTTCATTTTTTATATTTTTTTTGTATATTTTTTTACAGAGCTCTAGATAATAAAAATATCGGATATTAAAGGTTAGAGGTATTAACAAAGTTATTCTAATTCAGAATATTGCAAAATTTTAATGTTGGATGATTTTCTCATTGTCGAAGTCCATACAGTAACCTATTTTACATCAACATCATTTGGTCTCTCTGTAGGATAGTAATGTCTCGCATCTCTTCATTTCATAACAAATCAATTTGTAGGTTCTATAAAGTGGGCCTATGATGAAGGTAAGGGAAATTTTGACTGCCAACTGAGAGGAGGATATGGTGGACAGAAATTAAGCCTTGCAACAGGCCACCTACTGACCCCTCAAAGAATTGTGGCAAGGGTTCTTTAACGTGCAGAGTGGCACTGTCCCTACACATAGGAACTCTACTTTTTAAATTGCCATTCCAATTTTTGTTTGTTTTAAACATGATAACTTTAGAAGACTTTAAAGCAGGGGTCATAAAAAATATTACAATAATCCCACCTTTTACACCACCCTCAATGTTTATTATCTAGAACTGTTTACAAACAATTTTGTTTTCATATTATTTTTTGGTATTTTCATTTTTCATATTTTTTTGGATATTTTTTTACAGAGCTCTAGATAATAAAAATATTGGGTGTTAAAGGTTACAGGTATTAACAAAGTCATTCTAATTCAGAATATTGCAAAATTTTATGTTAGTTGATTTTCTCAATTTGTTGGAAGTCCATACAGTAACCTTTTGTACATCAACATCATTTGGTCTCTCTGTAGGATAGTAATGTCTCGCATCTCTTCATTTCATAACAAATCAATTTGTAGGTTCTATAAATTGGGCTGATGATGAAGGTAGGGGAAATTTTGACTGCCAACTGAGAGGATATGTTGGGCAGAAATTAAGCCTTGCAACAGTCCACCTACTGACCCCTCAAAGACTTGTGGCAAGGGTTCTTTAACGTACATATATAGTGGCACTGTCCCTACACATATAGGAACTGTACTTTTTAAATTGCCATTCCAATTTTTGTTTGTTTTAAACATGATAACATAAGAAGACTTTAAGGTGGGGGTCATAAAAAATATTACAAGAATCCCACCTTTTACACCACCCTCAATGTTTATTATCTAGAACTCTGTTTACAAACAATTTTGTTTTCATATATCATTTTTTGGTATTTTCTTTTTTTATATTTTTTTTTATATTTTTTTTTTACAGAGCTCTAGATAATAAAAATATCAGATGTTAAAGATTAGAGGTATTAACAAAGTCATTCTAATTCAGAATATTGCAAAATTTTAATGTTAGTTGATTTTCTCATTGTTGAAGTCCATACAGTAACATGCAACTTCATTTGGTCTCTGTAGGATAGTTGTCTCGCATCTCTTCATTTCATAACAAATCAATTTGTAGGTTCTATAAAGTGGGCTGATGATGAAGGTAGGGGAAATTTTGATTGCCAACTGAGAGGAGGATATGTTGGGCAGAAATTAAGCCTTGCAACAGGCCACCTACTGACCCCTCAAAGACTTGTGGCCAGGGTTCTTTAACATGAAGAGTGGCACTGTTCCTACACATAGGAACTATACTTTTTAAATTGCCATTCCAATTTTTGTTTGTTTTAAACATGATAACTTTAGAAGACTTTAAAGCGGGGGTCATAAAAAATATTACAATAATCCCACCTTTTACATCACCCTCAATGTTTATTATCTAGAACTCTGTTTACAAACAATTTTGCTTTCATATTATTTTTTGGTATTTTCATGTTTTATATTTTTTTACAGAGCTCTAGATAATAAAAATATTGGATGTTAAAGGTTACAGGTATTAACAAAGTCATTCTAATTAAGAATATTGCAAAATTTTAATGTAAGTTGATTTTCTCAATTTGTTGAAGTAAATACAGTAACCTTTTTTACATCAACTTCATTTGGTCTCTGTAGGATAGTTGTCTCGCATCTCTTCATTTCATAACAAATCAATTTGTAGGTTCTATAAAGTGGGCTGATGATGAAGGTAGGGGAAATTTTGACTACCAACTGAGAGGATATGTTGGGTAGATATTAAGCCTTGCAACAGGCCACCTACTGACCCCTCAAAGACTTGTGGCAAGGGTTCTTTAACGTGCAGAGTGGCACTGTCACTACACATAGGAACTATACCGTAGTGCATAGTTCTGAATCTCGGTCAAGGTTTTACTATATTTTTGGTTTAAAGTTCTTAAATGATTGTATTGGGTTCTTGACTTTCCAATACTTTAGCCTCAAATATCACTGTCTGGAGAGATTTTGTTGAAATAATTTCAAAATGAATTTCTCAAACGTTTTCTGATCATTTTTGGTTAAAAAATATTCATATTTCCTTAAATAACAGTTTTGTTGACTGAGTGCTCACGTCAATAGATATAAACAATTCACCAAAGTTTCATGGAAATTGTTGAAAGTGTTTTTGAATTAATGTCGACGACGGACGGACAGACAGAGAGACAGATGGAAGGACGGACAGACGGTCAACGGTATACCATAATACGTCCCGTAAACGGGCGTATAAAAAGTCAAAAAGAAACAGTGAACATTGCCTTGATTCCCCAAAAAAGTAAAACATTTGTATAAATTTTAAAACTAGACACCATCAAATTAAATGTTGAGAATATGGCCTCTAAAGTCTGCAGATGTTCATATCAAATGATGTACACATAAATATAAAAAAAAAGTCTGCAGATGATCATATCACATGATGTACACATAAATATAGACAAAAACATGCAATGGTATAGTACCATTTGAATTAGTCGGTTTGATTTCACGTCAAAGATTAAAAATTTCATAAGGGGTTTAAAAATTTCATAAGGGGTTGTGTGGAACCTAATGTATTGCCTGCTATAGCCGCTGTCAGTGTAATATAGAATTTAAAAATAGAGAGAGTCTATTTATCAGTAAAATACAGAAATTAAAAAAAGATCAAACTTTGGTCTTAGATGCTGTTTAATTTCTAAATAATTTACAAACTTATATTTGTATCTATCATACACCATTATAAGGATTTAATATTTGAATAATTTTTTATTTCTAGAATTTTGGTTAATCATGAATAAATCATACAAAGAAATGAACATGCACAACAAGGTCATGGTTTTCTCCAACTGTTAATGATGTCTTTACACTCAATCCATTGGTGTGGATGTGTACTGATTGATATTTTAGTCTTAGATGCATAATTTTTTTATTAGTTGTTATTGTCTTTGAACTAACTGTCAGCAACTACTTAAAGCTTGTACTCTTATCAGATCTGTACACGGTAGTTGCGAGAATGTATAAGTACCCTTCTCCTTCCGGTCAGTTTTGTGTATTTGTTAGTGGTATTTCTGCTTTGTATCAATCTGATGAGTTATTAGCCATCTTCAACTGATTTTAATAGTTTGTTATGTTGTTCTGTTACACAACTGTCTCAGGTGAGGGTACTGGAACCGTCAAACTAGTTTAACCCCAAACCCCTTGTTCTGTATATGGCTGTCCCACGTCAGGAGCCTGCAATTCAGCGATTGTCATTTGTTCATGCTATATATCATGTTTATTTTTCTTTCTCGTTTTAATTATTTTATAGCTGTAATTTCAGGGCCTTTCATAGCCGACTATGCTCATTGTTGAAAAATTTCACATTTACAAAGGTAAAAGTGACGACAAACAAATTAAAACTTGATCTACGTTTTGTAGTAAATTAATCGTTGTGTACACATTTTATAACATAAGGTCCAGTCAAGCTAAAGTTAGGAGAATGGAGACCAATTTTGGAATGAATGTACAGCGGGTGAATAAATAATATTTAAAATAATCCCACTTTTTTGTGGAGAGTTGTCTCATTGGCAATCATACCACATGTTCTTGTAATTATGTTTACAACTTTTATCATTAAGAACCCTTGGTTCAGTGATATCCTTTAAAAACAGCAAACATTTTATTAAGGAAAAATGTCCTACAGCACATGCAAAGAGTGGAATAATCAACATGGTGATACAAAATCCATATATACAAGTATACCTGGATTCATGCTACATAGTAATAGAAGGTTCACAATAAGAAAAAAGAAGTCTCCTTTGTTGTAATTTTTTATAGTTCCCAACTGACCTCACCAACAACCCCCAGGCTAAGGTCAAGATATGAGCCAGTTCCTGTATCGGATGCTCCTTATAACTAGCTATGTAGGAATTACAGAAGGATCGAATCAATAATGTCAACAAACTTTGAAAAAAGAAATGCCTAAATTGGGAAGTGTGAAGTAAAAGTACAATGTAAGTTTCTCTGTCATCCCCAAGAAGCCCCTGAATAAAGTCTACTTCATATGTAAAAATGAAAGATAGGGTGGATATCTAAAACCAGCAGCATACTTGTCCCAATGGCAATCATACCACATCTGATGTTTATATGTAAATGTGATTTGAATATGAAATATTAGGTCGTTGCTCCATTGTTAAAGACCCTGTATCAATCTCTGTCATTTGGTCTTGATGAAGAGTTTGTCTATTGGCAATCATATCACATCTCCATATTTGTATTCTAGAACAGCATTTTATTGTTGAAGACAGTATGTTAACCTAGTTATTATGTGTCTTGGCCATATTTTGTTGTTGGTGAGTAAATGCTGTCTCATTGACGTTAATTATCCCACATATCCTTTTATACATATGCTGAGTCATTTTTAGAACAATTACTAGATAAGATAAAGACTCCTTAAGAAAAAGATCTAGTTTTTCTTCAAAGCCAACTTGTCTTTGCTCTTTCTCTTTAGGTTTTTTTGGGTAGTGAAGGAATATAGCAATACCAGTTTTGAAGTCTCTACCTTTGACTCAGCTGGGGCGGGGAATAAAGGATTATTTAGACTGCTACAGGGGGATGACCAAGACTAGAAGAGGAGCATACTGTGAACCAACTCATTTTTCGGACAATTTATTTAATAGACTTCAAAGAAAAGAAGTAAGCCGAATATAAATCACGAGAATTTCAAAATAGAATTGTCTGTTGTATGAAATAACCCGAAAAATTAGATAATCACGAAACATATCCGTGAAATATGCTAAAAATGGCTATATGGTCGTTAAGTCTTTTCGTTTGAATTTTTTCACATTTGTGATTTCTGGGCCTTTTATAGCTGACTATGTGGTTTGGGCTTAGCTCATCGTTGAGGGCCGTACAGTTATCTATAGCTGTTAATTTCTGTGTCATTTAGTCTCTTGTGGAGAGTTGTCTCATTGGCAATCATACCACATCTTCTTTTTTTTTATATACATGTAAGCAGAAAAAATCCTATGTGAAATATGAGAGAAATGGCGATACGCGAAAAAAAATATCAGCTGCAAATTATGATAGAAATGTCTATATGGTCGTTAGTTTTTTCGTTTGAATTGTTTTACATATGTGATTTCTGGGCATTTTAAAACTGACTATGTGGTTGGGGCTTTGCTCATAGTTGAGGGCCGTACAGTTACCTACAATGTATAGCTGTTAATTTCTGTGTCATTTAGTCTCTTGTGGAGAGTTGTCTCATTGGCAATCATACCACATCTTCTTTTTTATATATACGTGGAAAAATTCCTATGTGAAATATGATAGAAATGGCGATACGCGAAAAAAAATATCAGCTGCGAAATATGAATGAAATGTTGCTACGCAAAAAAAAATATCAGTTGTGAAATATAATAGGAATGGCGCAACACAAATAAAATGTCCATAAAATAAGTTGGTTTACAGTAGTTGGTTCCTATAGAAATGTCAACTGTGTTACAAAAATAGGACATTAAATTGGTGATAAACTGAGTTTAAAAGGAAGGTGGTCATTAACTGTTCCCCATTAAATTGAAATTTGAATATTATAATAATGGTCAATCGAAATGCAAAGAACAAATGTTAAAAAAAAATTCTAAACGTGAAATTCAGTCTGAATTTTACATTTCATCACCCCAAAGAGATTCCTTATTTAACTGTCCCATTCTGAATTTTAGGTATTAGGTACATATTTATCTGAAGTTATAATCATGTTAGACTAAATTTATGGCACTTTTTCTTTTTTTGAAAGTTATTTACTAACGACAGTAAGTCTCAGCCCAATAAATTCTATTGTGCACACATACTTAATAAATACAAAGCAACCATATCCCTCCATCTGGTTAGTACCCCAAACCCTTATTAGAATGTCATACATCAATCTCTCTCTCCCTTGCGCCATCTATCACGCCACTAATACCTAACAACCTAT